GGCTCACAAACGCCCTTATATGGGGACGGTTCTTCATGCACGGGGCCCGTTTGAAGGCAAAAAGAGCTGGAATCTCGTCCCAAGGTGTCTAGGATTGTGGCAAACACGATCGTGCTGGGCGGTCCATGATCCGAGTAACATTGCTTCACATTTTATACCGGTACGGATTTCGCATCTTCCCGGGCTCACAAACGCCCTTATATGGGGACGGTTCTTCATGCGGCGGGCCCGTTTGAAGGCAAAAAGAGCTGGAATCTCGTCCCAAGGTGTCTAGAATTGTGGCAAACACGATCGTGCTGGGCGGTCCATGATCCGAGTAACATTGCTTCACATTTTATACCGGTACGGATTTCGCAGCTTCCCGGGCTCACAAACGCCCTTATATGGGGACGGTTCTTCATGCACGGGGCCCAGTTTGAAGGCAAAAAGAGCTGGAATCTCGTCCCAAGGTGTCTAGGATTGTGGCAAACACGATCGTGCTGTGCGGTCCATGATCCGAGTAACATTGCTTCACATTTTATACCGGTACGGATTTCGCAGCTTCCCGGGCTCACAAACGCCCTTATATGGGGACGGTTCTTCATGCACGGGGCCCGTTTGAAGGCAAAAAGAGCTGGAATCTCGTCCCAAGGTGTCTAGGATTGTGGCAAACACGATCGTGCTGTGCGGTCCATGATCCGAGTAACATTGCTTCACATTTTATACCGGTACGGATTTCGCAGCTTCCCGGGCTCACAAACGCCCTTATATGGGGACGGTTCTTCATGCACGGGGCCCGTTTGAAGGCAAAAAGAGCTGGAATCTCGTCCCAAGGTGTCTAGGATTGTGGCAAACACGATCGTGCTGGGCGGTCCATGATCCGAGTAACATTGCTTCACATTTTATACCGGTACGGATTTCGCATCTTCCCGGGCTCACAAACGCTCTTATATGGGGACGGTTCTTCATGCGGCGGGCCCGTTTGAAGGCAAAAAGAGCTGGAATCTCGTCCCAAGGTGTCTAGGAATTAGTGGCAAACACGATCGTGCTGGGCGGTCCATGATCCGAGTAACATTGCTTCACATTTTATACCGGTACGGATTTCGCAGCTTCCCGGGCTCACAAACGCCCTTATATGGGGACGGTTCTTCATGCACGGGGCCCGTTTGAAGGCAAAAAGAGCTGGAATCTCGTCCCAAGGTGTCTAGGATTGTGGCAAACACGATCGTGCTGTGCGGTCCATGATCCGAGTAACATTGCTTCACATTTTATACCGGTACGGATTTCGCAGCTTCCCGGGCTCACAAACGCCCTTATATGGGAATGGTTCTTCATGCACGGGGCCCGTTTGAAGGCAAAAAGAGCTGGAATCTCGTCCCAAGGTGTCTAGGATTGTGGCAAACACGATCGTGCTGGGCGGTCCATGATCCGAGTAACATTGCTTCACATTTTATACCGGTACGGATTTCGCATCTTCCCGGGCTCACAAACGCCCTTATATGGGGACGGTTCTTCATGCACCGGGCCCGTTTGAAGGCAAAAAGAGCTGGAATCTCGTCCCAAGGTATCTAGGATTGTGGCAAACACGATCGTGCTGGGCGGTCCATGATCCGAGTAACATTGCTTCACATTTTATACCGGTACGGATTTCGCAGCTTCCCGGGCTCACAAACGCCCTTATATGGGGACGGTTCTTCATGCACGGGGCCCGTTTGAAGGCAAAAAGAGCTGGAATCTCGTCCCAAGGTGTCTAGGATTGTGGCAAACACGATCGTGCTGGGCGGTCCATGATCCGAGTAACATTGCTTCACATTTTATACCGGTACGGATTTCGCAGCTTCCCGGGCTCACAAACGCCCTTATATGGGGACGGTTCTTCATGCACGGGGCCCGTTTGAAGGCAAAAAGAGCTGGAATCTCGTCCCAAGGTGTCTAGGATTGTGGCAAACACGATCGTGCTGTGCGGTCCATGATCCGAGTAACATTGCTTCACATTTTATACCGGTACGGATTTCGCAGCTTCCCGGGCTCACAAACGCCCTTATATGGGAATGGTTCTTCATGCACGGGGCCCGTTTGAAGGCAAAAAGAGCTGGAATCTCGTCCCAAGGTGTCTAGGATTGTGGCAAACACGATCGTGCTGGGCGGTCCATGATCCGAGTAACATTGCTTCACATTTTATACCGGTACGGATTTCGCATCTTCCCGGGCTCACAAACGCCCTTATATGGGGACGGTTCTTCATGCGGCGGGCCCGTTTGAAGGCAAAAAGAGCTGGAATCTCGTCCCAAGGTATCTAGGATTGTGGCAAACACGATCGTGCTGGGCGGTCCATGATCCGAGTAACATTGCTTCACATTTTATACCGGTACGGATTTCGCAGCTTCCCGGGCTCACAAACGCCCTTATATGGGGACGGTTCTTCATGCACGGGGCCCGTTTGAAGGCAAAAAGAGCTGGAATCTCGTCCCAAGGTGTCTAGGATTGTGGCAAACACGATCGTGCTGGGCGGTCCATGATCCGAGTAACATTGCTTCACATTTTATACCGGTACGGATTTCGCATCTTCCCGGGCTCACAAACGCCCTTATATGGGGACGGTTCTTCATGCGGCGGGCCCGTTTGAAGGCAAAAAGAGCTGGAATCTCGTCCCAAGGTATCTAGGATTGTGGCAAACACGATCGTGCTGGGCGGTCCATGATCCGAGTAACATTGCTTCACATTTTATACCGGTACGGATTTCGCAGCTTCCCGGGCTCACAAACGCCCTTATATGGGGACGGTTCTTCATGCACGGGGCCCGTTTGAAGGCAAAAAGAGCTGGAATCTCGTCCCAAGGTGTCTAGGATTGTGGCAAACACGATCGTGCTGGGCGGTCCATGATCCGAGTAACATTGCTTCACATTTTATACCGGTACGGATTTCGCAGCTTCCCGGGCTCACAAACGCCCTTATATGGGGACGGTTCTTCATGCACGGGGCCCGTTTGAAGGCAAAAGGAGCTGGAATCTCGTCCCAAGGTGTCTAGGATTGTGGCAAACACGATCGTGCTGTGCGGTCCATGATCCGAGTAACATTGCTTCACATTTTATACCGGTACGGATTTCGCAGCTTCCCGGGCTCACAAACGCCCTTATATGGGGAATGGTTCTTCATGCACGGGGCCCGTTTGAAGGCAAAAAGAGCTGGAATCTCGTCCCAAGGTGTCTAGGATTGTGGCAAACACGATCGTGCTGGGCGGTCCATGATCCGAGTAACATTGCTTCACATTTTATACCGGTACGGATTTCGCATCTTCCCGGGCTCACAAACGCCCTTATATGGGGACGGTTCTTCATGCGGCGGGCCCGTTTGAAGGCAAAAAGAGCTGGAATCTCGTCCCAAGGTATCTAGGATTGTGGCAAACACGATCGTGCTGGGCGGTCCATGATCCGAGTAACATTGCTTCACATTTTATACCGGTACGGATTTCGCAGCTTCCCGGGCTCACAAACGCCCTTATATGGGGACGGTTCTTCATGCACGGGGCCCGTTTGAAGGCAAAAAGAGCTGGAATCTCGTCCCAAGGTGTCTAGGATTGTGGCAAACACGATCGTGCTGGGCGGTCCATGATCCGAGTAACATTGCTTCACATTTTATACCGGTACGGATTTCGCATCTTCCCGGGCTCACAAACGCCCTTATATGGGGACGGTTCTTCATGCGGCGGGCCCGTTTGAAGGCAAAAAGAGCTGGAATCTCGTCCCAAGGTATCTAGGATTGTGGCAAACACGATCGTGCTGGGCGGTCCATGATCCGAGTAACATTGCTTCACATTTTATACCGGTACGGATTTCGCAGCTTCCCGGGCTCACAAACGCCCTTATATGGGGACGGTTCTTCATGCACGGGGCCCGTTTGAAGGCAAAAAGAGCTGGAATCTCGTCCCAAGGTGTCTAGGATTGTGGCAAACACGATCGTGCTGGGCGGTCCATGATCCGAGTAACATTGCTTCACATTTTATACCGGTACGGATTTCGCAGCTTCCCGGGCTCACAAACGCCCTTATATGGGGACGGTTCTTCATGCACGGGGCCCGTTTGAAGGCAAAAAGAGCTGGAATCTCGTCCCAAGGTGTCTAGGATTGTGGCAAACACGATCGTGCTGGGCGGTCCATGATCCGAGTAACATTGCTTCACATTTTATACCGGTACGGATTTCGCAGCTTCCCGGGCTCACAAACGCCCTTATATGGGGACGGTTCTTCATGCACGGGGCCCGTTTGAAGGCAAAAAGAGCTGGAATCTCGTCCCAAGGTGTCTAGGATTGTGGCAAACACGATCGTGCTGGGCGGTCCATGATCCGAGTAACATTGTTTCACATTTTATACCGGTACGGATTTCGCAGCTTCCCGGGCTCACAAACGCCCTTATATGGGGACGGTTCTTCATGCACGGGGCCCGTTTGAAGGCAAAAAGAGCTGGAATCTCGTCCCAAGGTGTCTAGGATTGTGGCAAACACGATCGTGCTGTGCGGTCCATGATCCGAGTAACATTGCTTCACATTTTATACCGGTACGGATTTCGCAGCTTCCCGGGCTCACAAACGCCCTTATATGGGGACGGTTCTTCATGCACGGGGCCCGTTTGAAGGCAAAAAGAGCTGGAATCTCGTCCCAAGGTGTCTAGGATTGTGGCAAACACGATCGTGCTGTGCGGTCCATGATCCGAGTAACATTGCTTCACATTTTATACCGGTACGGATTTCGCAGCTTCCCGGGCTCACAAACGCCCTTATATGGGGACGGTTCTTCATGCACGGGGCCCGTTTGAAGGCAAAAAGAGCTGGAATCTCGTCCCAAGGTGTCTAGGATTGTGGCAAACACGATCGTGCTGGGCAGTCCATGATCCGAGTAAAATTGCTTCACATTTTATACCGGTACGGATTTCGCATCTTCCCGGGCTCACAAACGCCTATATGGGGACGGTTCTTCATGCGTCGGGCCCGTTTGAAGGCAAAAAGAGCTGGAATCTCGTCCCAAGTTATCTAGGATTGTGGGGTGATGGAAAGTGGGAGAATGGGGCGGGGTGATAGAAAGAGGGAGATTGGGGCGGGGTGATGGAAAGCGTGAGAATGGGGCGGGGTGATGGAAAGAGGGAGAATGGGGAGGGGTGATGGAAAGCGGGAGAACGGGGCGGGGTGATGGAAAGCGGGAGAATTGGGCGGGGTGATGGAAAGCGAGAGGAATGGGGCGGGGTGATGAAAGGCGGGAGAATGGGGCGGGGTGATGGAAAGAGGGAGAATGGGGCGGGGTGATGGAAGGCGGGAGAATGGGGCGGGGTGATGGAAAGGGGGATAATTGGGCAGGGTGATGGAAAGATGGAGAATGGGGCGGGGTGATGGAAGGCGGGAGAATGGGGCGGGGTGATGGAAAGAGGGAGAATGGGGCGGGGTGATAGAAAGCAGGAGAATGGGGCGGGGTGATGGAAAGAGGAAGAATTGGGAGGGGTGATGGAAAGAATGAGAATGGGGTGGGGTGATGGAAAGCGGGAGAATGGGGCAGTGTGTTGGAAAGCGGGAGAATGAAGCGGGCGGGGTGATGGAAAGCGGGAGAATGGGGCGGGGTGATGGAAAGAGGGAGAATGGGGAGGGGTGATGGAAAGCGGGAGAACGGGGCGGGGTGATGGAAAGCGGGAGAATTGGGCGGGGTGATGGAAAGCGAGAGGAATGGGGCGGGGTGATGAAAGGCGGGAGAATGGGGCGGGGTGATGGAAAGAGGGAGAATGGGGCGGGGTGATGGAAGGCGGGAGAATGGGGCGGGGTGATGGAAAGGGGGATAATTGGGCAGGGTGATGGAAAGATGGAGAATGGGGCGGGGTGATGGAAGGCGGGAGAATGGGGCGGGGTGATGGAAAGAGGGAGAATGGGGCGGGGTGATAGAAAGCAGGAGAATGGGGCGGGGTGATGGAAAGAGGAAGAATTGGGAGGGGTGATGGAAAGAATGAGAATGGGGTGGGGTGATGGAAAGCGGGAGAATGGGGCAGTGTGTTGGAAAGCGGGAGAATGAAGCGGGCGGGGTGATGGAAAGCGGGAGAATGGGGCGGGGTGATGGAAAGAGGGAGAATGGGGAGTGGTGATGGAAAGCGGGAGAACGGGGCGGGGTGATGGAAAGCGGGAGAATTGGGCGGGGTGATGGAAAGCGAGAGGAATGGGGCGGGGTGATGGAAGGCGGGAGAATGGGGCGGGGTGATGGAAAGAGGGAGAATGGGGCGGGGTGATAGAAAGCAGGAGAATGGGGCGGGGTGATGGAAAGTGGGAGAATTGGGAGGGGTGATGGAAAGAATGAGAATGGGGTGGGGTGATGGAAAGCGGGAGAATGGGGCAGTGTGTTGGAAAGCGGGAGAATGAAGCGGGCGGGGTGATGGAAAGCGGGAGAATGGGGCGGGGTGATGGAAACAGGGAGAATGGGGCCGGGTGATGGAAAGAGGGAGAATGGGGCGGGGTGATGGAAAGCAGGAGAATGGGGCGGGGTGATGGAAAAGAGAATGGGGAGGGGTGATGGAAAGAGGGAGAATTGGGCGGGGTGATGGAAAGCGGGAGAATGGAGCGGGGTGATGGAAAGAGTGAAAATGGGGCAGGGTGATGGAAAGCGGGAGAATGGGGCGGGGTGATGGAAAGAGGGAGAATGGGGCAGGGTGATGGAAAGCGGGAGAATGGGGCGGGGTGATGGAAAGCGGGAGAATGGGGCGGGGTGATGGAAAGCGGGAGAATGGGGCGCGGTGATGGAAAGCGGGAGAATGGGGCGGGGTGATGGAAAGCGGGAGAATGGGGCGGGGTGATGGAAAGCGGGAGAATGGGGCGAGGTGATGGAAATCGGGAAAATGGGGCGGGGTGATGGAAAGCGAGAGAATGGGGCGGGGTGATGGAAAGAGGGAGAATGGGGCGGGGTGATGGATCGCGGGAGAATGGGGCGGGGTGATGGAAAGGGGGAGAATTGGGCTTGGTGATGGAAAGATGGAGAATGGGGCGGGGTGATGGAAGGCGGGAGAATGGGGCGGGGTGATGGAAAGAGGGAGAATGGGGCGGGGAGATAGAAAGCAGGAGAATGGGGTGGGATGATGGAAAGAGGGAGAATGGGGAGGGGTGATGGAAAGAGTGAGAATGGGGCAGGGTGATGGAAAGCGGGAGAATGGGCCGGGGTGATGGAAAGCGGGAGAATGGGGTGGGGTGATGGAAATCGGAAGAATGGGGCGGGGTGATGGAAAGCGGGAGAATGGGGCGGGGTGATGGAAAACGGGAGAATAAGGCGGGGTGATGGAAAGCGAGAGAATGGGGCGGGGTGATGGATAGAGGGAGAATGGGGCGGGGTGATGGAGAGTGGGAGAATGGGGCGGGGTGATGGAAAGAGGGAGAATGGGGCGGGGTGATGGAAAGCAGGAGAATGGGGCGGGGTAATGGAAAGAGGGAGAATGGGGCGGGGTGATGGAAATCGGGAGAATGGGGCGTGGTGATGGAAAGAGGGAGAATGGGGAGGGGTGATGGAAAGAGGGAGAATTAGGCGGGGTGATGGAAAGCGGGAGAATGGGGCGGGGTGATGGAAAGCGGAAGAATGGGGCGGGGTGATGGAAAGAGGGAGAATGGGGCGGGGTGATGGAAAGCAGGAGAATAGGCTGGGGTGATGGAAAGTGGGAGAATGGGGCGAGGTGATGGAGAGCGGGACAATGGGGCGGGGTGATGGAAAACGGGAGAATAAGGCGGGGTGATGGAAAGCGAGAGAATGGGGCGGGGTGATGGATAGAGGGAGAATGGGGCGGGGTGATGGAAAGTGGGAGAATGGGGCGGGGTGATGGAAAGAGGGAGAATGGGTCGGGGTGATGGAAAGCAGGAGAATGGGGCGGGGTAATGGAAAGAGGGAGAATGGGGCGGGGTGATGGAAATCGGGAGAATGGGGCGTGGTGATGGAAAGAGGGAGAATGGGGAGGGGTGATGGAAAGAGGGAGAATTAGGCGGGGTGATGGAAAGCGGGAGAATGGGGCGGGGTGATGGAAAGCGGGAGAATGGGGCGGGGTGATGGAAAGAGGGAGAATGGGGCGGGGTGATGGAAAGCAGGAGAATAGGCTGGGGTGATGGAAAGTGGGAGAATGGGGCGAGGTGATGGAGAGCGGGACAATGGGGCGGGGTGATGGAAAGCGGGAGAATGGAGCGGGGTGATGGAAAGCGAGAGAATGGGGTGGGGTGATAGAAAGCGGGAGAATGGGGTGGGGTGATGGAATTCGGGAGAATGGGGCGGGGTGATGGAAGGAGGGAGAGGTGATGGAAAGCGGGGGAATGGGGCGGGATGATGGGAAGCGGGAGAATGAGGCGAGGTGATGGAAGGAGGGAGAATGGGGCGGGGTGATGGAAAGCGGGAGAATGGGGCGGGGTGATGGAAAGCGGGAGAATGGGGCGGATTGATGGAAAGCGGGAGAATGGGGCGGGGTGATGGAAAGCGGGAGAATGGGGCGAGGTGATGGAAAACGGGAGAATGGGGCGGGGTGTTGGAAAGCAGGAGAATGGGGCGGGGTGATGAAAAGCGGGAGAATGGGGCGGGGTGATGGAAAGCGGGAGAATGGGGCGGGGTGATGGAAAGCGGGAGAATGGGGCGGGTGATGGAAAGCGGGTGAATGGGGCGGGGTGATGGAAAGCGGGAGAATGGGGCGGGGTGATGGAAAGCAGAAGAATGGGGCGGGGTGATGGAAAGCGGGAGAATTGGGCGAGGTGATGGAAAGCAGGAGAATTGGGCGGGGTGATGGAAGGAGGTAGAATGAGGCGGGGTGATGGAAGGAGGGAGAATGGGGCAGGGTGATGGAAAGCGGGAGAATGGGGCGGGGTGATGGAAAGCAGGAGAATGGGGTGGGCTGATGGAAAGCGGGAGAATGGGGCAGGGTGATGGAAAGCGGGAGAATGGGGCGGGGTGATGGAAAGCGGGAGAATGGGGCGGGGTGATGGAAAGCGGGAGAATGGGGCGGGCCAATGGAAAGTGGGAGAATGGGGCGGGGTGATGGAAGGAGGGAGAATGGGGCGGGGTGATGGAAGGAGGGAGAATGGGGCGGGGTGATGAAAGGAGGGAGAATGGGGCGGGGTTATGGAAAGCGGGAGAATGGGGCGGGGTGATGGAAAGCGGGAGAATGGGGCGGGGTGATGGAAAGTGGGAAAATGGGGCGGGGTGATTGAAAGCGCGAGAATGGGGCTGGGTGATCGAAAGCAGGAGAATTGGGCGGGGTGATGGAAAGCGGGAGAATGGGGCGGGGTGATGGAAGGAGGGAGACTGTGGCGGGGTGATAGAAGGAGGGAGAATGGGGCGGGGTGATGGAAAGCGGGAGAATGGGGCGGGCCAATAGAAAGTGGGAGAATGGGGCGGGGTGATGGAAGGAGGGAGAATGGGGCGGGGTGATGGAAGGAGGGAGAATGGGGCGGGGTGATGAAAGGAGGGAGAATGGGGCGGGGTTATGGAAAGCGGGAGAATGGGGCGGGGTGATGGAAAGCGGGAGAATGGGGCGGGGTGATGGAAAGTGGGGAAATGGGGCGGGCTGATTGAAAGCGCGAGAATGGGGCTGGGTGATCGAAAGCAGGAGAATTGGGCGGGGTGATGGAAAGCGGGAGAATGGGGCGGGGTGATGGAAGGAGGGAGACTGTGGCGGGGTGATAGAAGGAGGGAGAATGGGGCGGGGTGATGGAAAGCGGGAGAATGGGGCGGGGTGATGGAAAGCGGGAGAATGGGGCGGAGTGATGGAAAGCGGGAGAATGGGGCGGGGTGATGGGAGAATGGGGCGAGGTGATGGAAAACGGGAGAATGGGGCGGGGTGTTGGAAAGCGGGAGAATGGGGCGGGGTGATGAAAAGCGGGAGAATGGGGCGGGGTGATGGAAAGCGGGACAATGGGGCGGGTTATGGAAAGCGGGTGAATGCGGCGGGGTGATGGAAAGCGGGAGAATGGGGCGGGGTGATGGAAAGCAGAAGAATGGGGCGGGGTGATGGAAAGCGGGAGAATTGGGCGAGGTGATGGAAAGCAGGAGAATGGGGCGGGGTGATGGAAGGAGGGAGACTGAGGCGGGGTGATAGATGGAGGGAGAATGGGGCGGGGTGATGGAAAGCGGGAGAATGGGGCGGGGTGATGGAAAGCGGGAGAATGGGGCGGAGTGATGGAAAGCGGGAGAATGGGGCGGGGTGATGGAAAGCGGGAGAATGGGGCGAGGTGATGGAAAACGAGAGAATGGGGCGGGGTGTTGGAAAGCGGGAGAATGGGGCGGGGTGATGAAAAGCAGGAGAATGGGGCGGGGTGATGGAAAGCGGGAGAATGGGGCGGGGTGATGGAAAGCGGGAGAATGGGGCGGGTGATGGAAAGCGGGTGAATGGGGCAGGGTGATGGAAAGCGGGAGAATGGGGCGGGGTGATGGAAAGCGGGAGTATGGGGCGGGGAGATGAAAAGCGGGAGAATAGGCTGGGTAGATGGAAAGAGGGAGAATGGGGCGGGGTGATGGAAAGCGAGACAATGGGGCGGGGTGATGGAAAGCGGGAGAATAGGGCGGGGTGATGGAAAGCGAGAGAATGGGGTGGGGTGATAGAAAGCGGGAGAATGGGGTGGGGTGATGGAATTCGGGAGAATGGGGCGGGGTGATGGAAGGAGGGAGAGGTGATGGAAAGCGGGGGAATGGGGTGGGATGATGGGAAGCGGGAGAATGAGGCGGGGTGATGGAAGGAGGGAGAATGGGGCGGGGTGATGGAAAGCGGGAGAATGGGGCGGGGTGATGGAAAGCGGGAGAATGGGGCGGAGTAATGGAAAGCGGGAGAATGGGGCGGGGTGATGGAAAGCGGGAGAATGGGGCGAGGTGATGGAAAACGGGAGAATGGGGCGGGATGTTGGAAAGCGGGAGAATGAAGCGGAGTGATAGAAAGCGGGAGAATGGAGTGGGGTGATGGAAAGCAGGAGAATGGGGCGGGTGATGGAAAGCGGGTGAATGGGGCGGGGTGATGGAAAGCAGGAGAATGGGGTGGGGTGATGGAAAGCAGAAGAATAGGGCGGGGTGATGGAAAGCGGGAGATGGGGCGAGGTGATGGAAAGCGGGAGAATGGGGCGGGTAATGGAAAGCGGGAGAATAAGACGGGGTGATAGAAGGAGGGAGAATGGGGAGGGGTGATGGAAAGCGGGTGAATGGGGCAGGGTGATGGAAATCGGGAGAATGGGGCCGGGTGATGGAAAGCGGGAGAATGGAGCGGGGTGACGGAAGGAGGGAGAATGGGGCGGGGCGATCGAAAGCGGGAGAATGGGGCGGGGTGATGGAAAGCGGGAGAATGGGGCGGGGTGATGGAAGGAGGGAGAATGGGGTGAGGTGATGGAAAGCGGGAGATTGGGGCAGGGTGATGGAAAGCGGGGGAATGGGGCGGGGTGATGGAACGAGGGAGAATGGGGCGGGGTGATGGAAAGCGGGAGAATAGGCTGGGGTGATGGAAAGTGGGAGAATGGGGCGGGGTGATGGAAAGCGGGACAATGGGGCGGGGTGATGGAAAGCGGGAGAATGGAGCGGGGTGATGGAAAGCGAGAGAATGGGGTGGGGTGATAGAAAGCGGGAGAATGGGGTGGGGTGATGGAATTCGGGAGAATGGGGCGGGGTGATGGAAGGAGGGAGAGGTGATGGAAAGCGGGGGAATGGGGCGGGATGATGGGAAGCGGGAGAATGAGGCGGGGTGATGGAAGGAGGGAGAATGGGGCGGGGTGATGGAAAGCGGGAGAATGGGGCGGGGTGATGGAAAGCGGGAGAATGGGGCGGAGTGATGGAAAGCGGGAGAATGGGGCGGGGTGATGGAAAGCGGGAGAATGGGGCGAGGTGATGGAAAACGGGAGAATGGGGCGGGGTGTTGGAAAGCAGGAGAATGGGGCGGGGTGATGAAAAGCGGGAGAATGGGGCGGGGTGATGGAAAGCGGGAGAATGGGGCGGGGTGATGGAAAGCGGGAGAATGGGGCGGGTGATGGAAAGCGGGTGAATGGGGCGGGGTGATGGAAAGCGGGAGAATGGGGTGGGGTGATGGAAAGCAGAAGAATGGGGCGGGGTGATGGAAAGCAGGACAATTGGGCGAGGTGATGGAAAGCAGGAGAATGGGGCGGGGTGATGGAAGGAGGTAGAATGAGGCGGGGTGATGGAAGGAGGGAGAATGGGGCAGGGTGATGGAAAGCGGGAGAATGGGGCGGGGTGATGGAAAGCAGGAGAATGGGGTGGGCTGATGGAAAGCGGGAGAATGGGGCAGGGTGATGGAAAGCGGAAGAATGGGGCGGGGTGATGGAAAGCGGGAGAATGGGGCCGGGTGATGGAAAGCGGGAGAATGGGGCGGGCCGATGGAAAGTGGGAGAATGGGGCGGGGTGATGGAAGGAGGGAGAATGGGGCGGGTGATGAAAGGAGGGAGAATGGGGCGGGGTTATGGAAAGCGGGAGAATGGGGCGGGGTGATGGAAAGCGGGAGAATGGGGCGGGGTGATGGAAAGTGGGAAAATGGGGCGGGGTGATTGAAAGAGCGCGAATGGGGCTGGGTGATGGAAAGCAGGAGAATGGGGCAGGGTGATGGAAAGCGGGAGAATGGGGCGGGGTGATGGAAGGAGGGAGACTGAGGCGGGGTCATAGAAGGAGGGAGAATGGGGCGGGGTGATGGAAAGCGGGAGAATGGGGCGGGGTGATGGAAAGCAAGAGAATGGGGCGGAGTGATGGAAAGCGGGAGAATGGGGCGGGGTGATGGGAGAATGGGGCGAGGTGATGGAAAACGGGAGAATGGGGCGGGGTGTTGGAAAGCGGGAGAATGGGGCGGAGTGATGGAAAGCGGGAGAATGGGGCGGGTTGATGGAAAGCGGGAGAATGGGGCGGAGTGATGGAAAGCGGGAGAATGGGGCGGGCCGATGGAAAGTGGGAGAATGGGGCGGGGTGATGGAAGGAGGGAGAATGGGGCGGGGTGATGGAAAGCGGGAGAATGGGGCGGGGTGATGGAAAGCAGGAGAATGGGGTGGGCTGATGGAAAGCGGGAGAATGGGGCGGGGTGATGGAAAGCGGGAGAATGGGGCGGGGTGATGGAAAGCGGGAGAATGGGGCGGGGTGATGGAAAGCAGGAGAATGGGGTGGGCTGATGGAAAGCGGGAGAATGGGGCAGGGTGATGGAAAGCGGGAGAATGGGGCGGGGTGATGGAAAGCGGGAGAATGGGGCGGGGTGATGGAAAGCGGGAGAATGGGGCGGGCCGATGGAAAGTGGGAGAATGGGGCGGGGTGATGGAAGGAGGGAGAATGGGGCGGGGTGATGGAAGGAGGGAGAATGGGGCGGGTGATGAAAGGAGGGAGAATGGGGCAGGGTGATGGAAAGCGGGAGAATGGGGCGGGGTGATGGAAAGTGGGAAAATGGGGCGGGGTGATTGAAAGCGCGCGAATGGGGCTGGGTGATGGAAAGCAGGAGAATGGGGCAGGGTGATGGAAAGCGGAAGAATGGGGCGGGGTGATGGAAGGAGGGAGACTGACGGGGTGATAGAAGGAGGGAGAATGGGGCGGGGTGATGGAAAGCGGGAGAATGGGGCGGGGTGATGGAAAGCAAGAGAATGGGGCGGAGTGATGGAAAGCGGGAGAATGGGGAGGGGTGATGGGAGAATGGGGCGAGGTGATGGAAAACGGGAGAATGGGGCGAGGTGTTGGAAAGCGGGAGAATGGGGCGGAGTGATGGAAAGCGGGAGAATGGGGCGGAGTGATGGAAAGCGGGAGAATGGGGCGGGGTGATGGGAGAATGGGGCGAGGTGATGGAAAACGGGAGAATGGGGCGGGGTGTTGGAAAGCGGGAGAATGGGGCGGGGTAATGAAAAGCGGGAGAATGGGGCGGGGTGATGGAAAGCGGGAGAAGGGGGCGGGGTGATGCAAAGCGGGAGAATGGGGCGGGTGATGGAAAGCGGGTGAATGGGGCGGGGTGATGGAAAGCGGGAGAATGGGGCGGGGTGATGGAAAGCAGAAGAATGGGGCGGGGTGATGGAAAGCGGGAGAATTGGGCGAGGTGATGGAAAGCAGGAGAATGGGGCGGGGTGATGGAAGGAGGTAGAATGAGGCGGGGTGATGGAAGAAGGGAGAATGGGGCAGGGTGATGGAAAGCGGGAGAATGGGGCGGGGTGATGGAAAGCGGGAGAATGGGGTGGGCTGATGGAAAGCGGGAGAATGGGGCAGGGTGATGGAAAGCGGGAGAATGGGGCGGGGTGATGGAAAGCGGGAGAATGGGGCGGGGTGATGGAAAGCGGGAGAATGGGGCGGGCCGATGGAAAGTGGGAGAATTGGGCGGGGTGATGGAAGGAGGGAGAATGGGGCGGGGTGATGGAAGGAGGGAGAATGGGGCGGGTGATGAAAGGAGGGAGAATGGGGCAGGGTTATAGAAAGCGGGAGAATGGGACGGGGTGATGGAAAGCAGGAGAATGGGGCGGGGTGATGGAAAGCGGGAAAATGGGGCGGGGTGATGGAAAGCGCGAGAATGGGGCTGGGTGATGGAAAGCAGGAGAATGGGGCGGGGTGATGGAAAGCGGGAGAATGGGGCGGGGTGATGGAAAGCGGGAGAATGGGGCGGAGTGATGGAAAGCGGGAGAATGGGGCGGGGTGATGGAAAGCAGGAGAATGGGGCGCGGTGATGGAATGCGGGAGAACGGGGCGGGGTGTTGGAAAGCGGGAGAATGGGGCGGGGTGATGAAAAGCGGGAGGATGGGGCGGGGTGATGGAAAGCGGGAGAACGGGGCGGGGTGATGGAAAGCGGGAGAATGGGGCAGGTTATGGAATGCGGGTGAATGGGGCGGGGTGATTGAAAGCGGGAGAATGGGGCGGGTTGATGGAGAGCAGAAGAATGGGGTGAGGTGATGGAAAGCGGGAGAATGGGGCGAGGTGATGGAAAGCGGGAGAATGGGGCGGGGTGACGGAAAGCGGGAGAATGGGGCAGGGTGATGGAAGGAGGGAGAATGGGGCGGGGTGATGGAAAGCGGGAGAATGGGGCGTGGTGATGGAAAGCGGGAGAATGGGGCGGGGTGATGGAAAGCGGGAGAATGGGGCGGGGTGATGGAAAGCGGGAGAATGGGGCGGGGTGATGGAAGGAGGTAGAATGAGGCGGGGTGATGGAAGGAGAAGAATGGGGCGAGGTGATGGAAAGCGGGAGAATGGGGCGGGGTGATGGAAAGCGGGAGAATGGGGCGGAGTGATGGAAAGCGGGAGAATGGGGCGGGGTGATGGAAAGCGGGAGAATGGGGCATGGTGATGGAGAGCGAGAGAATGGGGCGGGGTGATGGGAGAATGGGGCGGGGTGATGGAAAGCGGGAGCATGGGGCGGGCTGATGGAAAGCGGGAGAATGGGGCGGGGTGATGGAAGGAGGGAGAATGGGGCGGGGTGATGGAAAGCGGGAGAATGGGGCGGGGTGATGGAAAGTGGGAGAATGGGGCGGGGTGATGAAAAGCGGGAGAATGGGGCGGGGCGATGGAAAGCGGGAGCATGGGGCAGGGTGATGGAAGGAGGTAGAAAGAGGCGGGGTGATGGAAGGAGGGAGAATAGGGCGGGGTGATGGAAGGCGGGAGAATGGGGCGAGGTGATGGAAGGAGGGAGAATGGGGCGTGGTGATGGAAAGCGGGAGAATGGGGCGGGGTGATGGAAAGCGGGAGAATGGGGCGGGGTGATAGAAAGCGGGAGAATGGGGAGGGGTGATGGAAAGCGGGTGAATGGGGCAGGGTGATGGAAATCGGGAGAATGGGGCGGGGTGATGGAAAGCGAGAGAATGGGGCGGGGTGATGGAAAGCGGGTGAATGGGGCAGGGTGATGGAAAGCGGGAGAATGGGGCGGGGTGATGGAAAGCGGGAGAATGGGGCGGGTTGATGGAAAGCGGGAGAATAGGGCGGGGTGATGGAAAGCGGGAGAATGGGACGGAGTGATGGAAAGCGGGAGAATGGGGCGGGGTGATGGAAGGAGGGAGAATGAGGTGGGGTGATGGAAAGCGGGAGATTGGGGCAGGGTGATGGAAAGCGGGGGAATGGGGCGGGGTGATGGAACGAGGGAGAATGGGGCGGGGTGATGGAAAGCGGGAGAATAGGCTGGGGTGATGGAAAGTGGGAGAATGGGGCGGGGTGATGGAAAGCGGGACAATGGGGCGGGGTGATGGAAAGCGGGAGAATGGAGCGGGGCGATGGAAAGCGAGAGAATGGGGTGGGGTGGTAGAAAGCGGGAGAATGGGGTGGGGTGATGGAATTCGGGAGAATGGGGCGGGGTGATGGAAGGAGGGAGAGGTGATGGAAAGCGGGGGAATGGGGCGGGATGATGGGAAGCGGGAGAATGAGGCGGGGTGATGGAAGGAGGGAGACTGGGGCGGGGTGATGGAAAGCGGGAGAATGGAGCAGGGTGATGGAAAGAGGGAGAATGGGGCGGAGTGATGGAAAGCGGGAGAATGGGGCGGGTAATGGAAAGCTGGAGAATGGGGCGGGGTGATAGAAGGAGGGAGAATGGGGAGGGGTGATCGAAAGCGGGGGAATGGGGCGGGATGATGGGAAGCGGGAGAATGGGGCGGGGTGATGGAAAGCTGGAGAATGGGGCGGGTTGATGGAAAGCGGGATAATGGGGCAGGGAGATGGAAAGCGGGAGAAAGGGGCGGGCTGATGGGAAGCGGGAGAATGGGGCGGGGTGATGGAAGGAGGGAGAATGGGGCGGGGTGATGGAAGGAGGGAGAAGGGGGCGGCGTGATGGAAAGCGGGAGAATGGGGCGGGGTGATGGAAAGCGGGAGAATGGGGCGGGGTGATGGAAGGATGGAAAATGGGGCGGGGTGATGGAAAGCGGGAGACTGTGGCGGGGTGATGGAAAGTGGGAGAATGAGGTGGGGTTATGGGAAGCGGGAGAATGGGGCGGGGTGATGGAAAGCGGGAGAATGGGGCGGGGTGATGGAAGGAGGGAGAATAGCGCGGGGTGATGGAAAGCGGGGTGATGGTAGGGGGGAGAATGGGGCGAGTTGATGGAAAGCGGGAGAATGGGGCGGGGTGATGGAAAGCAGGAGAATGGGGCGCGGTGATCGAAAGCGGGATAATGGGGTGGGCTGATGGAAAGCAGGAGAATGGGGCGTGGTGATGGAAGGAGGGAGAATGGGGCGGGGAGATGGAAAGCGGGAGAATGGGGTGGGCTGATGGAAAGCAGGAGAATGGGGCGTGGTGATGGAAGGAGGGAGAATGGGGCGGGGTGATGGAAAGCGGTAGAATGGGGCGGGGTGATGGAAAGCGGGAGCATGGGGCGGGGTGATGGAAGGAGGTAGAATGAGGCGGGGTGATGGAAGGAGGGAGAATGGGGCGGGGAGATGGAAAGCGGGAGAATGGGGCGGGGTGATGGAAAGCGGGAGAATGGGGCGGGGTGATGGAAAGCGGGAGAATGGGGTGGGGTGATCGAAAGCGGGAGAATGAGGCGGGGTGATGGAAAGCGGGAGAATGGGGCGGGGTGATGGAAGGCGGGAGAATGGGGTCGGGTGATGGAAAGCAGGAGAATGGGGCGGGCTGATGGAAAGCGGGAGAATAGGGCGGGGTGATGGGAGGAGGGAGAAAGGGGTGGGGTGATGGAAGGAGGGAGAACGGGGCGGGTGATGGAAGGAGGGAGAATGGGGCGGGGTTATGGAAAGCGGGAGAATGGGGCGGGGTGATGGAAAGCAGGAGAATGGGGCGGGGTGATGGAAGGAGGGAGAATGGGGCGGGGTGATGGAAAGCGGGAGATTGGGGCAGGGTGATGGAAAGCGTGAGAATGGGGCAGGGTGATAGAAAGCGGGAAAATGGGGCGGGGTGATGGAAAGTGGGAGAATGGGGCTGGGTGATGGAAAGCGGGAGAATGGGGCGGGGTGATGGAAAGCGGGAGAATGGGGCGGGGTGATGGAAGCAGGGAGAATGAGCCGGGGTGATGGAAGGAGGGAGAATGGGGCGGGGTGATGGAAAGCGGGTGAATGGAGCTTGGTGATGGAAAGTAGGAGAATGGGGCGGGGTGATAGAGAGCGGGAGAATGGGGCGGGGTGCTGGAAAGAGGGAGAATGGGGCGGGGTGATGGAAAGAGGGAGAATGGGGAGGGGAGATGGAAAACGGGAGAATGGGGTGGGGTGATGGAAAGAGGGAGAACGGGGTGGGGTGATGGAAAACGGGAGAACGGGGCGGGGTGATGGAAAGGGGGAGAACGGGGTGGGGTGATGAAAAGCGGGAGAACAGGATGGGGTGATGGAAAGCGGGAGAATGGGGCGGGGTGATGGAAAGCGGGAGAATGGGGCGGGGTGATGGAAAGCAGGAGAATGGGGCGGGGTGATGGAAATAGGGAGAATGGGGCAGGGTGATGGAAACAGGGAGAATAGGGCAGGGTGATGGAAAGAGGGAGAATGTGGCGGGGTGACAGAAAGAGGGAGAATGGGGCGGGGTGATGGAAAGAGGGAGAATGGGGCGGGGTGATGGAAAGAGGGAGAATAGGTCGGGGTGATGGAAAGAGAGAGAATGGGGAGGGGTGATGGAAGTAGGGAGAATTGGGCGGGGTGATGGAAAGCGGGAGAATGGAGCGGGGTGATGGAAATTGGGAGAATGGGGCGGGGTGATGGAAAGAGGGAGAATGGGGCGGGGTGATGGAAAGCGGGAGAATGGGCAGGGTGATGGAAAGCGGGAGAATGGGGCGGGGTGATGGAATGCGGGAGAATGGGGTGGGGTGATGGAATGCGGGAGAATGGGGCGAGGTGATGGAAAGAAAGAGAATGGGGCGGGGTGATGGAAAGCGGGAAAATGGGACGCGGTGAAGGAAAGCGGGAGAATGGGGCGGGGTGATGGATAGAGGGAGAATGGGGCGGGGTGATGGAAAAAGGGAGAATGGGGCGGGGTGATGGAAAGCGAGAGAATGGGGCGGGGTGATGTAAAGAGGGAGAATGGGGCTGGGTGATGGAAGGCTGGAGAATCGGGCGGGGTGATGGAAAGAGGGAGAATGGGGTGGGGTGATGGAAGGATGGAGAATGGGGCGGGGTGATGGAAGGCGGGAGAATGGGGTGGAGTGATGGAAAGATGGAGAATGGGGCGGGGTGATGGAAAGCGGGAGAATGGGGCGGGGTGATGGAAAGAGGGAGAATGGGGCGGGGTGATGGAAAGAGGGAGAACAGGGCGGGGTGATGGAAAGCGGGAGAATGGGGCGGGGTGATGGAAAGAGGGAGAATGGGGCGGGGTGATGGAAAGCGGGAGAATGGGGCGGGGTGATGGAAAACGGGAGAATGGGGCGGGGTGATGAAAACAGGGAGAATGGGGCGGGGTGGTGGAAAGAGGGAGAATGGGGCGGGGTGATGGAAAGAGGAAGAAAGGGGCAGGGTGATGGAAAGAAGGAGAATGGGGCGGGGTGATGGAAAGCGGGAGAATGGAGCGGGGTGATGGAAAGAGGGAGAATTGGGCAGGGTGATGGAAAGCGGGAGAATGGAATGGGGTGATGGAAAGCGGGAGAATGGGGCGGGGTGATGGAAAGCGGGAGAATGGGACGGGGTGATGGAATGAGTGAAAATGGGGCGAGGTGATGGATTACGGGGGAGAATGGGGCGGGGTGATGGAAAGAGGAAGAATGGGGCGAGGTGATGGAAAGAGAGAGAATGGGGCAGGGTGATGGAAAGCGGGAGAATGGGGCGGGGTGATGGAACAGGGAGAATGGGGCGGGGTGATGGAAAGCGGGAGAATGGGGCGGGGTGATGGAAAGAGGGAGAATGGGGCGGGGTGATGGAAAGCGGGAGAATGGGGCAGGGTGATGGAAAGAGGGAGAATGGGGAGGGGTGATGGAAAGAGGGAGAATTGGGCGGGGTGATGGAAAGAGGGAAAATGGGGCGGGGTGATGGAAAGCGGGAGAATGGGGCGGGGTGATGGAAAGAAGGAGAATGGGGCTGGGTGATGGAAAGCGGGAGAATGGGGCAGGGTGATGGAAAGAGGGAGAATAGGGGGGGTTGATGGAAAGCGGGAGAATGGGGCGGGGTGATGGAAAGCGGGAGAATGGGGTGGGGTGATGGAAAGCGGGAGAATTAGGCGGGTTGATGGAAAGCGGGAGAATGGGGCGGGGTGATGGAAAGCGGGAGAATGGGGTGGGGTGATGGAAAGAGGGAGAATGTTGCGGGTTGATGGAAAGAGGGAGAATAGGGCGGGGTTATGGAAAGAGGGAGAATGGGGCGGGGTGATGAAATAGCGGGAGAATGGGGCGGGGTGATGGAAAGCGGGAGAATGGGGCAGGGTGATAGAAAGAGGGAGAATGGGGCGGGCTGATGGAATGAGGGAGAATGGGGTGGGGTGATGGAAAGTGGAAGAATGGGGCGGGGTGATTGAAAGCGGGAGAATGGGGCGGGATGATGGAAAGCGGGAGAATGGGGCTGGGTGATGGAGAGAGGGAGAATGGGGCGGGGAGATGGAAAGAGGGACAATGGGGCGGGGTGATGGAAAGCGGAAGAATGGGGTGGGGTGATGGAAAGCGGGAGAAAGGGGCGGGGTGATGGAAAGCGGGAGAATGGGGCGGGGAGATGGAAAGCAGGAGAATGGGGCGGGGTGATGGAAAGAGGAAGAAAAGGGCAGGGTGATGGAAAGCCGGAGAATGGGGCGGGATGATGGAAAGCGTGAGAATGGGGCAGGGGTGATGGAAAGAGGGAGAATGGGGCGGGGTGATGGAAAGCGGGAAAATGGGGCGGGGTAATGGAAAGCGGGAGAATGGGCTGGGGTGATGGAAAGAGGGAGAATAGGGCGGGGTGATGGAAAGAGGGAGAATGGGGCGGGGTGATGGAAAGAGGCGGAATGGGGCGGGGTGATGGAAAGAGGGAGAATGGGGCGGGGTGATGGAAAGCGGGAGAATGGGGCGGGGTGATGGAAAGAGGGAGAATGGGGAGGGGTGATGGAAAGAGGGAGAATTGGGCGGGGTGATGGAAAGAGGGAAAATGGGGCGGGGTGATGGAAAGTGGGAGAATGGAGCGGGGTGATGGAAAGCGGGAGAATGGGGCGGGGTGATAGAAAGAAGGAGAATGGGGCTGGGTGATGGAAAGCGGGAGAATGGGGCAGGGTGATGGAAAGAGGGAGAATAGGGGGGGTTGATGGAAAGGGGGAGAATGGGGCGGGGTGATGGAAAGCGGGAGAATGGGGTGGGGTGATGGAAAGCGGGAGAACGAGGCGGGTTGATGGAAAGCGGGAGAATGGGGCGGGGTGATGGAAAGCGGGAGAATGGGGTGGGGTGATGGAAAGAAGGAGAATGTTGCGGGTTGATGGAAAGAGGGAGAATAGGGCGGGGTTATGGAAAGAGGGAGAATGGGGCGGGGTGATGAAATAGCGGGAGAATGGGGCGGGGTGATGGAAAGCGGGGTGATGGAAAGCGGAGAATGGGGCGGGGTGATAGAAATAGGGAGAATAGGGCGGGGTGATGGAGAGCGGGAGAATGGGGCAGGCTGATGGAAAGAGGGGGAATGGGGCGGGGTGATGGAAAAAGGGAGAATGGGACGGGGTGATGAAAAGCGGAAGAATGGTGCGGGGCGATGGAAAGAGGAAGGATCGGGTGGGGTGATGAAAAGAGGGAGAATGGGGCAGGGTGATGAAAAGAGGGAGAATGGGGCGGGGTGATGGAAAGCGGGAGAACGGGGCGGGGTGATGGAAAACGGGAGAATGGGGTGGGGTGATGAAAAGCGGGAGAATGGGGCGGGGTGATGGAAAGCGGGAGAATGGGGCGGGGTGATGGAAAGAGGGAGAAAGGGGCGGGGTGATGGAAAGCGGGAGAATGGGGCGGGGTGATGGAAAGCGGGAGAATGGGGCGGGGTGATGGAAAGCGGGAGAAAGGGACGGGGTGATGGAAGCGGGAGAATGGGGCGGGGTGATGGAAAGCGGGAGAATGGGGCGGGGTGATGGAAAGCGGGAGAATGGGGCGGGGTGATGGAAAGCTTGAGAATAGGGCGGGGTGATGGAAAGCAGGAGAATGGGGCGGGGTGATGGAAAGCGGGAGAACGGGGCGGGGTGATGGTAAACGGGAGAATGGGGTGGGGTGATGAAAAACGGGAGAATAGGGCGGGGTGATGGAAAGCGGGAGAATGGGGCGGGGTGATGGAAAGAGGGAGAAAGGGGCGGGGTGATGGAAAGCGGGAGAATGGGGCGGGGTGATGGAAAGCGGGAGAATGGGGCGGGGTGATGGAAAGCGGGAGAAAGGGACGGGGTGATGGAAGCGGGAGAATGGGGCGGGGTGATGGAAAGCGGTAGAATGGGGCGGGGTGATGGAAAGCGGGAGAATGGGGCGGGGTGATGGAAAGCTTGAGAATAGGGCGGGGTGATGGAAAGCGGGAGAATGGGGCGGGGTGATGGAAAGCGGGAGAATGGGGCGGGGTGATGGAAAGCGGGAGAATGGGGCGGGGTGATGGAAAGCGGGAGAATGGGGCGGGGTGATGAAAAACGGAAGAATGGGGCGGGGTGAAGAAAAGCGGAAGAATGGGGCGGGCTGATGGAAAGAGGGGGAATGGGGCGGGGTGATGGAAAGAGGGAGAATGGGGCAGAGTGATGAAAAGCGGAAGAATGCGGTGGGGTGATGGAAAGAGGGAGAATGGGGCAGGGTGAAGAAAAGCGGGAGAATAGGGCGGGTTGATGGAAAGAGGGAGAATGGGGCGGGGTGAATGGGGCGGGGTGATGGAAAGCGGAAGAATGGGGCGGGGTGATGGAAAGCGGGAGAATGGGGCGGGGGGATGGAAAGCGGGAGAATGGGGCGGGGTGATGGAAAGCGGGAGAATAGGGCGGGGTGATGGAAAGCGGGAGAATGGGGCGGGGTGATGGAAAGCGAGAGAATTGGCCAGGTTGATGGAAAGCGGGAGAATGGGGCGGGGTGATGGAAAGCTGGAGAATGGGGCGGGGTGATGGAAAGTGGGAGAATGGGGCGGGGTGATGGTAAGCTGGAGAATGGGGCGGGGTGATGGAAAGCGGAAGAATGGGGCGGGGTGATGGAAATTGGGAGGATGGGGCGGGGTGATGGAAAGAGAGCATGGGGCAGGGTGATGGAAATAGGGAGAATGGGGCGGGGTGATGGAAAGAGGGAGACTGGGGCGGGGTGATGGAAAGAGAGAGAATGGGGCGGGGTGATGGAAAGCGGGAGAATGGGGCGGGGTGACGGTAAGCGGGAGAATGGGGCGGGTGATGGAAAGTGGGAGAATGGAGCGGGGTGATGGAAAAAGGGAGAATGGGCCGGGATGATGGAAAGCGGGAGAATGGGGCGGGGTGGTGGAAAGAGGGAGAATGGGGCGGGGTGATGAAAAGAGGGAAAATGGGACGGGGTGATGGAAAGCTTGAGAATGGGGCGGGGTGATGGAAGCGGGAGAATGGGGCGTGGTGATGGAAAGCGGGAGAATGGGGCGGGGTGATGGAAAGCGGGAGAATGGGGCGGGGTGATGGAAAGAGGGAGAAAGGGGCGGGGTGATGGAAAGCGGGAGAATGGGGCGGGGTGATGGAAAGCGGGAGAATGGGGCGGGGTGATGGAAAGCGGGAGAATGGGGCGGGGTGATGGAAGTGGGAGAATGGGGCGGGGTGATGGAAAGCGGGAGAATGGGGCGGGGTGATGGAAAGCGGGAGAATGGGGCGGGGTGATGGAAAGAGGGAGAATAGGGCGGGGTGATGGAAAGCAAGAGAATGGGGCGGGGTGATGGAAAACGGGAGAATGGGCCGGGGTGATGGAAAGCGGGAGAATGGGGCGGGGTGATGAAAAGCGGGAGAATGGGGCAGGGTGATGGAAAACGGGAGAATGGGGCAGGGTGATGGAAAGCAGGAGAATGGGGCGGGGTGATGGAAAGCTTGAGAATGGGGCGGGCTGATGGAAAGCGGGAGTATGGGGCGGGGTGATGGAAAGCGGGAGAATGGGGCGGGGTGATGGAAAGCGGGAGAATGGGGCAGGGTGATGGAAAGCGGGAGAATGGGGCAGGGTGGTGGAAAGCGGGAGAATAGGGCGGGGTGATGGAAAGCGGGACAATGGGGCGGGGTGATGGAAAGCGGGAGAATGGGGCGGGGTGATGGAACGCGGGAGAAAGGGGTGGGGTGATGGAAAGCGGGAGAGTGGGGCGGGGTGATGGAAAGAGGGAGAGTAGGGTGGGGTGATGGAAAGAGGGAGAATGGGGCAGGGTGATGGAAAGAGGGAGATTGGGGCAGGGTGATGCGAAGCGGGAGAACGGGGCGGGGTGATGGAAAGCGGGAGAATGGGGCGGGGTGATGGAAAGCAGGAGAATGGGGCGGGGTGATGGAAAGCTTGAGAATGGGGCGGGCTGATGGAAAGCGGGAGTATGGGGCGGGGTGATGGAAAGCGGGAGATTGGGGCAGGGTGATGCGAAGCGGGAGAACGGGGCGGGGTGATGGAAAGCGGGAGAATGGGGCAGGGTGATGGAAAGCAGGAGAATGGGGCGGGGTGATGGAAAGCTTGAGAATGGGGCGGGCTGATGGAAAGCGGGAGTATGGGGCGGGGTGATGGAAAGCGGGAGAATGGGGCGGGGTGATGGAAAGCGGGAGAATGGGGCAGGGTGATGGAAAGCGGGAGAATGGGGCAGGGTGGTGGAAAGCGGGAGAATAGGGCGGGGTGATGGAAAGCGGGACAATGGGGCGGGGTGATGGAAAGCGGGAGAATGGGGCGGGGTGATGGAACGCGGGAGAAAGGGGTGGGGTGATGGAAAGCGGGAGAGTGGGGCGGGGTGATGGAAAGAGGGAGAGTAGGGTGGGGTGATGGAAAGAGGGAGAATGGGGCAGGGTGATGGAAAGAGGGAGATTGGGGCAGGGTGATGCGAAGCGGGAGAACGGGGCGGGGTGATGGAAAGCGGGAGAACGGGGCGGGGTGATGGAAAGCAGGAGAATGGGGCGGGGTGATGGAAAGCATGAGAATGGGGCGGCGTGATGGAAAGCGGGAGAATGGGGCGGGGTGATGGAAAGAGGAAGAATATGGCGGGGTGATGGAAAGCGGGAGAATGGGGCGGGGTGATGGAAAGCGGGAGAATGGGGCAGGGTGATGGAAAGCGGGAGAATGGGGCAGGGTGGTGGAAAGCGGGAGAATGGGGCAGGCTGATGGAAAGAGGGGGAATGGGGCAGGGTGATGGGAAGAGGGAGAATAAGGCAGGGTGATGAAAAGCAGAAGAATGGGGTGGGGTGATGGAAAGAGGGAGAATGGGGCGGGGTGATGGAAAGAGGGTTAATGGGGCGGGGTGATGGAAAGCGGAAGAATGGGGCGGGGTGATGGAAAGCGGGAGAATGGGGCGGGGTGATGGAAAGCGGGAGAACGGGGCGGGGTGATGGAAAGCGGAAGAATGGGGCGGGGTGATGGAGCGGGAGAATGGGGCGGGGTGTTGGAAAGCGGGAGAATGGGGCGGGGTGATGGAAAGAGGTAGAATAGGGCGGGGTGATGGAAAGAGGGAGAATGGGGCGGGGTGATGAAAAGAGGGAGAATGGGTCGGGGTGATGGAAAGCGGGAGAATGGGGCAGGGTGATGGAAAGCGGGAGAATGGGGCAGGGTGATGGAAAGCGGGAGAATGGGGTGGGGTGATGGAAAGCAAAAGAATGGGGCGGGGTGATGGAAAGCAGGAGAATGGGGCGGGGTGATGGAAAGCGGGAGAATGGGGCGGGGTGATGGAAAGCGGGAGAATAGGGCGGGGTGATGGAAAGCGGGAGAATGGGGCGGGGTGATGGAAAGCGGGAGAATGGGGCGGGGTGATGGAAAGCGGGAGAATGGGGCGGGGTGATGGAAAGCGGGAGAATGGGGCGGGGTGATGGAAAGCGGGAGAATTGGGCAGGTTGATGGAAAGCGGGAGAATGGGGCGGGGTGATGGAAAGCTGGACAATGGGGCGGGGTGATGGAAAGCGGGAGAATGGGGCGGGGTGATGGTAAGCTGGAGAATGGGGCGGGGTGATGGAAAGCGGAAGAATGGGGCGGGTTGATGGAAATTGGGAGGATGGGGCGGGGTGATGGAAAGAGGGAGCATGGGGCAGGGTGATGGAAATAGGGAGAATGGGGCGGGGTGATGGAAAGAGGGAGACTGGGGCGGGGTGATGGAAAGAGAGAGAATGGGGCGGGGTGATGGAAAGCGGGAGAATGGGGCGGGGTGACGGAAAGCGGGAGAATGGGGCGGGGTGATGGAAAGTGGGAGAATGGAGCGGGGTGATGGAAATAGGGAGAATGGGCCGGGGTGATGGAAAGCGGGAGAATGGGGCGGGGTGGTGGAAAGAGGGAGAATGGGGCGGGGTGATGAAAAGAGGGAGAATGGGACGGGGTGATGGAAAGCGGGAGAATGGGGCGGGGTGATGGAAGCGGGAGAATGGGGCGGGGTGATCGAAAGCGGGAGAATGGGGCGGGGTGATGGAAAGTGGGAGAATGGGGCAGGGTGATGGAAAGCAGGAGAATGGGGCAGGGTGGTGGAAGCGGGAGAATGGGGCAGGCTGATGGAAAGAGGGGGAATGGGGCAGGGTGATGGAAAGAGGGAGAATAAGGTGGGGTGATGAAAAGCGGAAGAATGGGGCAGGGTGATGGAAAGAGGGAGAATGGGGCGGGGTGATGAAAAGCAGAAGAATGGGGCACGGTGATGGAAAGAGGGAATATGGGGCGGGGTGATGGAAAGAGGGTTAATGGGGCGGGGTGATGGAAAGCGGAAGAATGGGGCGGGGTGATGGAAAGCGGGAGAATGGGGCGGGGTGATGGAAAGCGGGAGAATGGGGCGGGGTGATGGAAAGCGGAAGAATGGGGCGGGGTGATGGAGCGGGAGAATGGGGCGGGGTGTTGGAAAGCGGGAGAATGGGGCGGGGTGATGGAAAGAGGGAGAATAGGGCGGGGTGATGGAAAGAGGGAGAATGGGGCGGGGTGATGAAAAGCATGAGAATGGGGCGGCGTGATGGAAAGCGGGAGAATGGGGCGGGGTGATGGAAAGAGGAAGAATATGGCGGGGTGATGGAAAGCGGGAGAATGGGGCGGGGTGATGGAAAGCGGGAGAATGGGGCAGGCTGATGGAAAGAGGGGGAATGGGGCAGGGTGATGGAAAGAGGGAGAATAAGGCGGGGTGATGAAAAGCGGAAGAATGGGGCAGGGTGATGGAAAGAGGGAGAATGGGGCGGGGTGATGAAAAGCAGAAGAATGGGGCACGGTGATGGAAAGAGGGAGAATGGGGCGGGGTGATGGAAAGAGGGTTAATGGGGCGGGGTGATGGAAAGCGGAAGATTGGGGCGGGGTGATGGAAAGCGGGAGAATGGGGCGGGGTGATGGAAAGCGGGAGAATGGGGCGGGGTGATGGAAAGCGGAAGAATGGGGCGGGGTGATGGAGCGGGAGAATGGGGCGGGGTGTTGGAAAGCGGGAGAATGGGGCGGGGTGATGGAAAGAGGGAGAATAGGGCGGGGTGATGGAAAGAGGGAGAATGGGGCGGGGTGATGAAAAGCACGAGAATGGGGCGGCGTGATGGAAAACGGGAGAATGGGGCAGGGTGATTGAAAGAGGAAGAATATGGCGGGGTGATGGAAAGCGGGAGAATGGGGCGGGGTGATGGAAAGCGGGAGAATGGAGCGGGGTGATGGAAAGCAGGAGAATGGGGCAGGGTGGTGGAAAGCGGGAGAATGGGGCAGGCTGATGGAAAGAGGGGGAATGGGGCAGGGTGATGGAAAGAGGGAGAATATGGCGGGTTGATGAAAAGCGGAAGAATGGGGCGGGGTGATGGAAAGAGGGAGAATGGGGCGGGGTGATGAAAAGCAAAAGAATGGGGCACGGTGATGGAAAGAGGGAGAATGGGGCGGGGTGATGGAAAGAGTGTTTATGGGGCGGGGTGGTGGAAAGCGGAAGAATGGGGCGGGGTGATGGAAAGCGGGAGAATAGGGCGGGGTGATGGAAAGCGGGAGAATGGGGCGGGGTGATGGAAAGCGGAAGAATGGGGCGGGGTGATGGAGCGGGAGAATGGGGCGGGGTGTTGGAAAGCGGGAGAATGGGGCAGGGTGATGGAAAGAGGGAGAATAGGGCGGGGTGATGGAAAGAGGGAGAATGGGGCGGGGTGATGAAAAGCATGAGAATGGGGCGGCGTGATGGAAAGCGGGAGAATGGGGCGGGGTGATGGAAAGAGGAAGAATATGACGGGGTGATGGAAAGCGGGAGAATGGGGCGGGGTGATGGAAAGCGGAAGAATTGGGCGGGGTGATGGAAAGCGGGAGAATGGGGCGGGGTGATGGAAAGCGGGAGAATGGGGCGGGGTGATGGAAAGCGGAAGAATGGGGCGGGGTGATGGAGCGGGAGAATGGGGCGGGGTGTTGGAAAGCGGGAGAATGGGGCGGGGTGATGGAAAGAGGGAGAATAGGGCGGGGTGATGGAAAGAGGGAGAATGGGGCGGGGTGATGAAAAGCATGAGAATGGGACGGCGTGATGGAAAGCGGGAGAATGGGGCGGGGTGATGGAAAGAGGAAGAATATGGCGGGGTGATGGAAAGCGGGAGAATGGGGCGGGGTGATGGAAAGCGGGAGAATGGGGCAGGGTGATGGAAAGCAGGAGAATGGGGCAGGGTGGTGGAAAGCGGGAGAATGGGGCAGGCTGATGGAAAGAGGGGGAATGGGGCAGGGTGATGGAAAGAGGGAGAATATGGCGGGGTGATGAAAAGCGGAAGAATGGGGCGGGGTGATGGAAAGAGGGAGAATGGGGCGGGGTGATGAAAAGCAGAAGAATGGGGCACGGTGATGGAAAGAGGGAGAATGGGGCGGGGTGATGGAAAGCAGAAGAATGGGGCGGGGTGATGGAAAGCGGGAGAATGGGGCGGGGTGATGGAAAGCGGGAGAATGGGGCGGGGTGATGGAAAGCGGAAGAATGGGGCGGGGTGATGGAGCGGGAGAATGGGGCGGGGTGTTGGAAAGCGGGAGAATGGGGCGGGGTGATGGAAAGAGGGAGAATAGGGCGGGGTGATGGAAAGAGGGAGAATGGGGCGGGGTGATGAAAAGAGGGAGAATGGGTCGGGGTGATGGAAAGCGGGAGAATGGAGCAGGGTGATGGAAAGCAGGAGAATGGGGTGGGGTGATGGAAAGCGGGAGAATTGGGTGGGGTGATGGAAAGCAGGAGAATGGGGCGGGGTGATGGAAAGCAGGAGAATGGGGCGGGGTGATGGAAAGCGGGAGAATGGGGCGGGGTGATGGAAAGCAGGAGAATGGGGCGGGGTGATGGAAAGCGGGAGAATGGGGCGGGGTGATGGAAAGCGGGAGAATGGGGCGGGGTGATGGAAAGCGGGAGAATGGGGCGGGGTGATGGAAAGAGGGAGAATGGGGTGGGGTAATGGAAAGAGGGAGAAAGTGGCAGGTGATTAAAAGAGGGAGAATGGGGCGGGGTGATGGAAGGAGAGAGAATGGGGCGGGGTGATGGAAAGCGGGAGAATGGGGCGGGGTGATGGAAAGCGGAAGAATGGGGCGGGGTGATGGAGCGGGAGAATGGGGCGGGGTGTTGGAAAGCGGGAGAATGGGGCGGGGTGATGGAAAGAGGGAGAATAGGGCGGGGTGATGGAAAGAGGGAGAATGGGGCGGGGTGATGAAAAGCATGAGAATGGGACGGCGTGATGGAAAGCGGGAGAATGGGGCGGGGTGATGGAAAGAGGAAGAATATGGCGGGGTGATGGAAAGCGGGAGAATGGGGCGGGGTGATGGAAAGCGGTTGAATGGGGCAGGGTGATGGAAAGCAGGAGAATGGGGCAGGGTGGTGGAAAGCGGGAGAATGGGGCAGGCTGATGGAAAGAGGGGCAATGGGGCAGGGTGATGGAAAGAGGGAGAATATGGCGGGGTGATGAAAAGCGGAAGAATGGGGCGGGGTGATGGAAAGAGGGAGAATGGGGCGGGGTGATGAAAAGCAGAAGAATGGGGCACGGTGATGGAAAGAGGGAGAATGGGGCGGGGTGATGGAAAGCAGAAGAATGGGGCGGGGTGATGGAAAGCGGGAGAATGGGGCGGGGTGATGGAAAGCGGGAGAATGGGGCGGGGTGATGGAAAGCGGAAGAATGGGGCGGGGTGATGGAGCGGGAGAATGGGGCGGGGTGTTGGAAAGCGGGAGAATGGGGCGGGGTGATGGAAAGAGGGAGAATAGGGCGGGGTGATGGAAAGAGGGAGAATGGGTCGGGGTGATGAAAAGAGGGAGAATGGGTCGGGGTGATGGAAAGCGGGAGAATGGAGCAGGGTGATGGAAAGCGGGAGAATGGGGTGGGGTGATGGAAAGCGGGAGAATTGGGTGGGGTGATGGAAAGCAGGAGAATGGGGCGGGGTGATGGAAAGCAGGAGAATGGGGCGGGGTGATGGAAAGCGGGAGAATGGGGCGGGGTGATGGAAAGCGGGAGAATGGGGCGGGGTGATGGAAAGCGGAAGAAAGGGGCGGGGTGATGGAAAGCAGGAGAATGGGGCGAAGTGATGGAAAGCGGGAGAATGGGGCGGGGTGATGGAAAGCGGGAGAATGGGGCGGGGTGATGGAAAGTGGGAGAATGGGGCGGGGTGATGGAAGGAAGGAGAATGGGGCGGGGTGATGGAAGGAGGGAGAATGGGGTGGGGTGATGGAAGGAGGGAGAATGGGGCGGGGTGATGGAGAGCGGGAGGATGGGGCGGGGTGATGGAAAGCGGGAGGATGAGGCGGGGTGATGGAAAGCGGGAGAATGGGGCGGGGTGATGGAAAGCGGGAGAATTGGGCGGGGTGATGGAAAGCGGGAGAATTGGGCGGGGTGATGGAAAGCGGGAGAATGGGGCGGGGTGATGGAAAGCGGGAGAATGTGGCGGGGTGATGGAAGGAGAGAGAATGGGGCGGGGTGATGGAAAGCGAGAGAATGGGGCGGGATGAAGGAAAGCGGGAGAATGGGGCGGGGTGATGGAAAGCGGGGGAACGGGGCGGGGTGATGGAAATCGGGAGAATGGGGCGGGGTGATGGAAAGAGGGAGGATGGGGTGGGGTGATGGAAAGCAAAAGAATGGGGCGGGGTGATGGAAAGCGGGAGAATGGGGAGGGGTGATGGAAAGCAGGAGAGTTGGGCGGGGTGATGGATAGAGGGAGAATGGGGCAGGGTGATGGAAAGAGGGAGAATGGGGCGGGGTGATGGAAAGCGGGAGAATGGGGCGGGGTGATGGAAAGCAGGAGAATGGGGCGGGGTGATGGAAAGAGGGAGAATGGGGCGGGCTGATAGAAAGAGGGAGAATGGGGCGGGTGATGGAAAGGGGGAGAATGGGGCGGGGTGATGGAAAGGGGGAGAATGGGGCGGGGTGATGGAAAGCGGGAGAACCGGGCGGGGTGATGGAAAGCCGGAGAACGGGGCGGGGTGATGGAAAGAGGGAGAATGGGGCGGGGTGATGGAAAGCGGGAGAACGGGGCGGGGTGATGGAAAGCGGGAGAACGGGGCGGGGTGATGGAAAGAGGGAGAATTGGGCGGGGTGATGGAAAGCGGGAGAATGGGGCGGGGTGATGGAAAGCGGGAGAATGGGGCAGGGTGATGGAAAGAGGGAGAATAGGGAGGGGTGATGGAAAGAGGGAGAATTGGGCGGGGTGATGGAGAGCGGGAGAATGGAGCGGGGTGATGGAAAGCGGGAGAATGGGACGGGGTGATGGAAAGTGGGAGAATGGGGCGAGGTGATGGAAAGAGGGAGAATGGGGCGTGGTGATGGAAAGCGGGAGAACGGGGCGGGGTGATGGAAAGAGGGAGAATGGGGTGGGGTGATGGAAAGCGGGAGAATGGGGCGGGGTGATGGAAAGCGGGAGAACGGGACAGGGTGATGGAAAGTGGGAGAATGGGGCGAGGTGATGGAAAGAGGGAGAATGGGGCGTGGTGATGGAAAGCGGGAGAATGGGGCGGGGTGATGGAGAGCGGGAGAATGGAGCGGGGTGATGGAAAGCGGGAGAATGGGACGGGGTGATGGAAAGTGGGAGAATGGGGCGAGGTGATGGAAAGAGGGAGAATGGGGCGTGGTGATGGAAAGCGGGAGAATGGGGCGTGGTGATGGAAAGCGGGAGAATGGGGCGGGGTGATGGAGAGCGGGAGAATGGAGCGGGGTGATGGAAAGCGGGAGAATGGGACGGGGTGATGGAAAGTGGGAGAATGGGGCGAGGTGATGGAAAGAGGGAGAATGGGGCGTGGTGATGGAAAGCGGGAGAACGGGGCGGGGTGATGGAAAGAGGGAGAATTAGGCGGGGTGATGGAAAGCGGGAGAATGGGGCGCGGTGATGGAAAGCGGGAGAATGGGGCAGGGTGATGGAAAGAGGGAGAATAGGGAGGGGTGATGGAAAGAGGGAGAATTGGGCGGGGTGATGGAGAGCGGGAGAATGGAGCGGGGTGATGGAAAGCGGGAGAATGGGACGGGGTGATGGAAAGTGGGAGAATGGGGCGAGGTGATGGAAAGAGGGAGAATGGGGCGTGGTGATGGAAAGCGGGAGAACGGGGCGGGGTGATGGAAAGAGGGAGAATGGGGCGGGGTGATGGAAAGAGGGAGAATGGGGCGGGGTGATGGAAAGCGGGAGAATGGGGCGGGGTGATGGAAAGCGGAAGAATGGGGCGGGGTGATGGAAAGCGGGAGAATGGAGCGGGGTGATGGAAAGAGGGAGAATGGGGCAGGGTGATGGAAGGCCGGAGAATGGGGCGGGGTGATGGAAAGAGGGAGAATGGGGCGGGGTGATGGAAAGAGGGAGAATGGGAATGGGTGATGGAAAGCGGGAGAATGGGGCGGGGTGATGGAAAGAGGGAGAATAGGGAGGGGTGATGGAAAGCGAGAGAATGGGGCAAGGTGATGGAAACACGAAGAATGGGGAGGTGTGATGGAAACAGGGAGAATGGGGCGAGGTGATGGAAACAGGGAGAATGGGGTTGGGTGACGGAAAGAGGGAGAATGGGATGGGTTGATGGAAAGAAGGAGAATGGGGCGGGGAGATGGAAAGGGGAGATTGGAGAGGGGTGATGGAAAGCGGGAGAATTGGGCGCGGTGATGGAAAGCTGGAGAATGGAGCGGGGTGATGGAAAGCGGGAGAATGGGGCGGGGTGATGGAAAGAGGCAGAATGGGGCGGGGTGATGGAAAGCAGGAGAATGGGGCGGGGAAATGGAAAGAGGGAGAATGGGGCAGGGTGATGGAAAGAGGGAGAATGGGGCGGGGTGATGAAAAGCAGGAGAATGGGGCGGGGTGATGGAAAGAGGGAGAATGGGAAGGGGTGATAGAAAGAGGGAGAATTGGGCGGGGTGATGGAAAGCGGGACAATGGAGCCGGGTGATGGAAAGCGGGAGAATGGGGCGGAGTGATTGAAATCAGGAGAATGGGGCGGAGTGATGGAAAGCGGGAGAATGGGGCGGGTGATGGAAAGAGGTTAAATGGCGCGGGGTGATGGAAAGCGGGAGAATGGGGCGGGGTGATGGAACGAGGGAGAATGGGGCGGGGTGATGGAAAGAGGGAGAATGGGGCGGGGTGATGGAAAGCGGGAGAATGGGTCGGGGTGATGGAAAGAGGGAGAATGGGGCGGGGTGATGGAATGAGGGAGAACGGGGCGGGGTGACGGAAAGCTGGAGAATGGGGCGGGGTGATGGAAAGAGGGAGAATGGGGCGGGGTGATGGAAAGAGGGAGAATGGGACGGGGTGATGGAAAGCGGGAGAATGGGGCGGGGTGATGGAAAGCGGGAGAATGGGGCGGGGTGATGGAAAAAGGGATAATGGGGAGGGGTGATGGAAGACGGGAGAATGGGGCGGGGTGATGGAAAGCAGGAGAATGGGGCGGGGTGATGGAAAGAGGGAGAATGGGAAGGGGTGATAGAAAGAGGGAGAATTGGGCGGGGTGATGGAAAGCGGGACAATGGAGCTGGGTGATGGAAAGCGGGAGTATGGGGCGGAGTGATGGAAAGCCGGAGAATGGGGCGGAGTGATGGAAAGCGGGAGAATGGGGCGGGTGATGGAAAGAGGGAGAATGGGGCGGGGTGATGGAAAGAGGGAGAATGGGGCGGGGTGATGGAAAGCGGGAGAATGGGGCGGGGTGATGGAAAGCGGAAGAATGGGGCGGGGTGATGGAAAGCGGGAGAACGGGGCGGGGTGACGGAAAGCTGGAGAATGGGGCGGGGTGATGGAAAGCGGGAGTATGGGGCGGAGTGATGGAAAGCGGGAGAATGGGGCGGGTGATGGAAAGAGGGAGAATGGGGCGGGGTGATGGAAAGAGGGAGAATGGGGCGGGGTGATGGAAAGCGGGAGAATGGGGCGGGGTGATGGAAAGCGGAAGAATGGGGCGGGGTGATGGAAAGAGGGAGAACGGGGCGGGGTGACGGAAAGCTGGAGAATGGGGCGGGGTGATGGAAAGAGGGAGAATGGGGCGGGGTGATGGAAAGAGGGAGAATGGGGCGGGGTGATGGAAAGCGGGAGAATGGGGCGGGGTGATGGAAAGCGGAAGAATGGGGCGGGGTGATGGAAAGAGGGAGAACGGGGCGGGGTGACGGAAAGCTGGAGAATGGGGCGGGGTGATGGAAAGAGGGAGAATGGGGCGGGGTGATGGAAAGAGGGAGAATGGGACGGGGTGATGGAAAGCGGGAGAATGGGGCGGGGTGATGGAAAGCGGGAGAATGGGGCGGGGTGATGGAAAAAGGGATAATGGGGAGGGGTGATGGAAGACGGGAGAATGGGGCGGGGTGATGGAAAGCAGGAGAATGGGGCGGGGTGATGGAAAGAGGGAGAATGGGAAGGGGTGATAGAAAGAGGGAGAATTGGGCGGGGTGATGGAAAGCGGGACAATGGAGCTGGGTGATGGAAAGCGGGAGTATGGGGCGGAGTGATGGAAAGCGGGAGAATGGGGCGGAGTGATGGAAAGCGGGAGAATGGGGCGGGTGATGGAAAGAGGGAGAATGGGGCGGGGTGATGGAAAGAGGGAGAATGGGGCGGGGTGATGGAAAGCGGGAGAATGGGTCGGGGTGATGGAAAGAGGGAGAATGGGGCGGGGTGATGGAAAGAGGGAGAATGGGGCGGGGTGATGGAAAGCGGGAGAATGGGGCGGGGTGATGGAAAGAGGGAGAATGGGGCGGGGTGATGGAAAGAGGGAGAATGGGGCGGGGTGATGGAAAGCGGGAGAATGGGGCGGGGTGATGGAAGGGGAGAATGGGGCGGGGTGATGGAGAGAGGGAGAATGGGGCGGGGTGATGGAAAGCGGGAGAATGGGTCAGGGTGATGGAAAGACGGAGAATGGGGCGGGTTGATGGAAGACGGGAGAATGGGGTGGGGTGATGGAAGGCGGGAGAATTGGGTAGGGTGATGGAAAGATGGAGAAAGGGGCGGAGTGATGGAAGGCGGGAGAGTTGGGCGGGGTGATGTAAAGATGGAGAATGGGGCAGGGTGATGGAAAGTGGGAGAATGGGGCAGGGTGATGGAAAGAGGGAGAATGGGGCGGGGTGATGGAAAGAGGGAGAATGGGGTGGGGAGATGGAAAGAGGAAGAATGGGGCGGGGTGATGGAAAGTGGGAGAATGGGGTGGGGTGATGGAAAGAGGAAGAATGGGACGGGGTGATGGAAAGCGGGAGAATGGGGCGGGGTGATGAAAAGTGGGAGAATGGGGCGGGGTGATGGAAAGCGAGAGAATGGGGCGGGGTGATGGGAAGAGGGAGAATGGGGCGGGGTGATGGAAAGTGGGAGAATGGGGCGGGGTGATGGAAAGAGGGAGAATGGGGCAGGGTGATGGAAAGCGGGAGAATGGGGCGGGGTGATGGAAAGAGGGAGAATGGGGCGGGGAGATGGAAAGAAGAAGAATGGGGCGGGGTGATGGAAAGTGGGAGAATGGGGCGGGGTGATGGAAAGAGGGAGAATGGGACGGGGTGATGGAAAGCGGGAGAATGGGGCGGGGTGATGAAAAGCGGGAGAATGGGGCGGGGTGATGGAAAGCAAGAGAATGGGGCGGGGTGATGGGAAGAGGGAGAATGGGGCGGGGTGATGGAAAGCAGGAGAATGGGGCGGGGTGATGGAAAGCGGGAGAATGGGGCGGGGTGATGGAAAGCGGGAGAATGGGCCGGGGTGATGGAAAGAGGGAGAATGGGGCGGGGTGATGGAAAGCGGGAGAATGGGGCGGGGTGATGGAAAGAGGGAGAATGGGGCGGGGTTATAAATATCGGGAGAATGGGCCGGGGTGATGGAAAGAGGGGAGGATGGGGCGGGGTGATGGAAAGAGGGGAGGATGGGGCGGGGTGATGGAAAGTGGGAGAATGGGACGGGGTGATGGAAAGCGGGAGAATTGGGTGGGGTGATGGATAGAGGGAGAATGGGGCAGGGTGATGGAAAGAGGGAGAATGGGGCGGGGTGATGGAAAGAGGGAGAATTGGTCGAGGTGATGGAAAGCGGGAGAATGGGGTGGGGTGATGGAAAGAGGGAGAATGGGGCGGGGTGATGGAAAGAGGGAGAATGGGGCGGGGTGATGGAAAGCGGGAGAATGGGGCGGGGTGATGGAAAAAGGGATAATGGGGAGGGGTGATGGAAAAAGGGAGAATTGGGCGGGGTGATGGAAAGCGGGACAGAGGGAGAATGGGGCGGGGAGATGGAAAGAGGGAGAATGGAGAGGGGTGATGGAAAGCGGGAGAATTGGGCGGGGTGATGGAAAGCGGGAGAATGGAGCAGGGTGATGGAAAGCGGGAGAATGGGGTGGGGTGATAGAAAGCGGGAGAATGGGGCGGGGTGATGGAAAAAGGGAGAATGGGGCGGGGTGATGGAAAGCAGGAGAATGGGTCAGGGTAATGGAATGAGGGAGAATGGGGTGGGGTGATGGAAATCGGGAGAATGGGGCGTGGTGATGGAAAGAGGGAGAATGGGGCGGGGTGATGAAAAGCAGAAGAATGGGGCACGGTGATGGAAAGAGGGAGAATGGGGCGGGGTGATGGAAAGAGGGTTTATGGGGCGGGGTGGTGGAAAGCGGAAGAATGGGGCGGGGTGATGGAAAGCGGGAGAATGGGGCGGGGTCATGGAAAGCGGGAGAATGGGGCGGGGTGATGGAAAGCGGAAGAATGGGGCGGGGTGATGGAGCGGGAGAATGGGTCGGGGTGTTGGAAAGCGGGAGAATGGGGCGGGGTGATGGAAAGAGGGAGAATAGGGCGGGGTGATGGAAAGAGGGAGAATGGGGCGCGGTGATGAAAAGCATGAGAATGGGGCGGCGTGATGGAAAGCGGGAGAATGGGGCGGGGTGATGGAAAGAGGAAGAATATGGCGGGGTGATGGAAAGCCGGAGAATGGGGCGGGGTAATGGAAAGCGGGAGAATGGGGCAGGCTGATGGAAAGAGGGGGAATGGGGCAGGGTGATGGAAAGAGGGAGAATAAGGCGGGGTGATGAAAAGCGGAAGAATGGGGCAGGGTGATGGAAAGAGGGAGAATGGGGCGGGGTGATGAAAAGCAGAAGAATGGGGCACGGTGATGGAAAGAGGGAGAATGGGGCGGGGTGATGGAAAGAGGGTTAATGGGGCGGGGTGATGGAAAGCGGAAGAATGGGGCGGGGTGATGGAAAGCGGGAGAATGGGGCGGGGTGATGGAAAGCGGGAGAATGGGGCGGGGTGATGGTAAGCGGAAGAATGGGGCGGGGTGATGGAGCGGGAGAATGGGGCGGGGTGTTGGAAAGCGGGAGAATGGGGCGGGGTGATGGAAAGAGGGAGAATAGGGCGGGGTGATGGAAAGAGGGAGAATGGGGCGGGGTGATGAAAAGCATGAGACTGGGGCGGCGTGATGGAAAGCGGGAGAATGGGGCGGGGTGATGGAAAGAGGAAGAATATGGCGCGGTGATGGAAAGCGGAAGAATGGGGCGGGGTGATGGAAAGCGGGAGAATGGGGCAGGGTGATGGAAAGAAGGAGAATGGGGCAGGGTGGTGGAAAGCGGGAGAATGGGGCAGGCTGATGGAAAGAGGGGGAATGGGGCAGGGTGATGGAAAGAGGGAGAATATGGCGGGGTGATGAAGAGCGGAAGAATGGGGCGGGGTGATGGAAAGAGGGAGAATGGGGCGCGGTGATGAAAAGCAGAAGAATGGGGCACGGTGATGGAAAGAGGGAGAATGGGGCGGGGTGATGGAAAGCGGAAGAATGGGGCGGGGTGATGGAAAGCGGAAGAATGGGGCGGGGTGATGGAAAGCGGGAGAATGGGGCGGGGTGATGGAAAGCGGAAAAATGGGGCGGGGTGATGGAGCGGGAGAATGGGGCAGGGTGTTGGAAAGCGGGAGAATGGGGCGGGATGATGGAAAGAGGGAGAATAGGGCTGGGTGATGGAAAGAGGGAGAATGGGGCAGGGTGATGAAAAGAGGGAGAATGGGTCGGGGTGATGGAAAGCGGGAGAATGGGGCAGGGTGATGGAAAGCGGGAGAATGGGGTGGGGTGATGGAAAGCGGGAGAATTGGGTGGGGTGATGGAAAGCAGGAGAATGGGGCGGGGTGATGGAAAGCAGGAGAATGGGGCGGGGTGATGGAAAGCGGGAGAGTGGGGCGGGGTGATGGAAAGCAGGAGAATGGGGCGGGGTGATGGAAAGCGGGAGAATGGGGCGGGGTGATGGAAAGCGGGAGAATGGGGCGGGGTGATGGAAAGAGGGAGAATGGGGTGGGGTAATGGAAAGAGGGAGAAAGGGGCGGGTGATTAAAAGAGGGAGAATGGGGCGGGGTGATGGAAAACGGGAGAATGGGGCGGGGTGATGGAAAGCGGAAGAATAAGGCGGGGTGATGGAAAGCGGGAGAAGGGGGCGGGGTGATGGAAAGCGGAAGAAAGGGGCGGGGTGATGGAAAGCAGGAGAATGGGGCGAAGTGATAGAAAGCGGGAGAATGGGGCGGGGTGATGGAAAGCGGGAGAATGGGGCGGGGTGATGGAAAGTGGGAGAATGGGGCGGGGTGATGGAAGGAGGGAGAATGGGGCGGGGTGATGGAAGGAGGGAGAATGGGGCGGGGTGATGGAAAGCGGGAGGATGGGGCGGGGTGATGGAAAGCGGGAGGATGGGGCAGGGTGATGGAAAGCGGGAGAATGGGGCGGGGTGATGGAAAGCGGGAGAATTGGGCGGGGTGATGGAAAGCGGGAGAATGGGGCGGGGTGATGGAAAGCGGGAGAATGTGGCGGGGTGATGGAAGGAGAGAGAATGGGGCGGGGTGATGGAAAGCGGGAGAATGGGGCGGGATGAAGGAAAGCGGGAGAATGGGGCGGGGTGATGGAAAGCGGGGGAACGGGGCGGGGTGATGGAAATCGGGAGAATGGGGCGGGGTGATGGAAAGAGGGAGGATGGGGTGGGGTGATGGAAAGCAAAAGAATGGGGCGGGGTGATGGAAAGCGGGAGAATGGGACGGGGTGATGGAAAGCGGGAGAGTTGGGCGGGGTGATGGATAGAGGGAGAATGGGGCAGGGTGATGGAAAGAGGGAGAATGGGGCGGGGTGATGGAAAGAGGGAGAATGGGGCGGGGTGATGGAAAGCGGGAGAATGGGGCGGGGTGATGGAAAGCAGGAGAATGGGGCGGGGTGATGGAAAGAGGGAGAATGGGGCGGGCTGATAGAAAGAGGGAGAATGGGGCGGGTGATGGAAAGGGGGAGAATGGGGCGGGGTGATGGAAAGGGGGAGAATGGGGCGGGGTGATGGAAAGCGGGAGAACCGGGCGGGGTGATGGAAAGCGGGAGAACAGGGCGGGGTGATGGAAAGAGGGAGAATGGGGCAGGGTGATGGAAAGCGGGAGAACGGGGCGGGGTGATGGAAAGCGGGAGAACGGGGCGGGGTGATGGAAAGAGGGAGAATTGGGCGGGGTGATGGAATGCGAGAGAATGGGGCGGGGTGATGGAAAGCGGGAGAATGGGGCGGGGTGATGGAAAGCGGGAGAATGGGGCGGGGTGATGGAAAGCGGGAGAATGGGGCAGGGTGATGGAAAGAGGGAGAAGGGAGGGATGATGGAAAGAGGGAGAATTTGGCGGGGTGATGGAAAGCGGGAGAATGGAGCGGGGTGATAGAAAGCGGGAGAATGGGACGGGGTGATGGAAAGTGGGAGAATGGGGCGAGGTGATGGAAAGAGGGAGAATGGGGCGTGGTGATGGAAAGCGGGAGAACGGGGCGGGGTGATGGAAAGAGGGAGAATGGGTCGGGGTGATGGAAAGCGGGAGAATGGGGCGGGGTGATGGAAAGCGGGAGAACGGAGCGGGGTGATGGAAAGCGGAAGAATGGGGCGGGGTGATGGAAAGCGGGAGAATGGAGCGGGGTGATGGAAAGAGGGAGAATGGGGCGGGGTGATCGAAGGCGGGAGAATGGGGCGGGGTGATGGAAAGAGGGAGAATGGGGCGGGGTGATGGAAAGAGGGAGAATGGGAATGGGTGATGGAAAGCGGGAGAATGGGGCGGGGTGATGGAAAGAGGGAGAATAGGGAGGGGTGATGGAAAGCGAGAGAATGGGGCGACGTGATGGAAACAGGAAGAATGGGGCGGGGTGATGGAAACAGGGAGAATGGGGCGAGGTGATGGAAACAGGGAGAATGGGGTTGGGTGACGGAAAGAGGGAGAATGGGATGGGTTGATGGAAAGAAGGAGAATGGGGCGGGGAGATGGAAAGGGGAGATTGGAGAGGGGTGATGGAAAGCGGGAGAATTGGGCGCGGTGATGGAAAGCGGGAGAATGGAGCGGGGTGATGGAAAGCGGGAGAATGGGGCGGGGTGATGGAAAGAGGGAGAATGGGGCGGGGTGATGGAAAGCAGGAGAATGGGGCGGGGAAATGGAAAGAGGGAGAATGGGGCAGGGTGATGGAAAGAGGGAGAATGTGGCGGGGTGATGGAAAGCAGGAGAATGGGGCGGGGTGATGGAAAGAGGCAGAATGGGAAGGGGTGATAGAAAGAGGGAGAATTGGGCGGGGTGATGGAAAGCGGGACAATGGAGCCGGGTGATGGAAAGCGGGAGAATGGGGCGGAGTGATGGAAATCAGGAGAATGGGGCGGAGTGATGGAAAGCGGGAGAATGGGGCGGGTGATGGAAAGAGGTTAAATGGCGCTGGGTGATGGAAAGCGGGAGAATGGGGCGGGGTGATGGAAAGAGGGAGAATGGGGCGGGGTGATGGAAAGAGGGAGAATGGGGCGGGGTGGTGGAAAGCGGGAGAATGGGTCGGGGTGATGGAAAGAGGGAGAATGGGGTGGGGTGATGGAAAGAGGGAGAACGGGGCGGGGTGACGGAAAGCTGGAGAATGGGGCGGGGTGATGGAAAGAGGGAAAATGGGGCGGGGTGATGGAAAGAGGGAGAATGGGACGGGGTGATGGAAAGCGGGAGAATGGGGCGGGGTGATGGAAAGCGGGAGAATGGGGCGGGGTGATGGAAAAAGGGATAATGGGGAGGGGTGATGGAAGACAGGAGAATGGGGCGGGGTGATGGAAAGCAGGAGAATGGGGCGGGGTGATGGAAAGAGGGAGAATGGGAAGGGGTGATAGAAAGAGGGAGAATTGGGCGGGGTGATGGAAAGCGGGACAATGGAGCTGGGTGATGGAAAGCGGGAGAATGGGGCGGAGTGATGGAAAGCGGGAGAATGGGGCGGAGTGATGGAAAGCGGGAGAATGGGGCGGGTGATGGAAAGAGGGAGAATGGGGCGGGGTGATGGAAAGCGGGAGAATGGGGCGGGGTGATGGAAAGCGGGAGAATGGGTCGGGGTGATGGAAAGAGGGAGAATGGGGCGGGGTGATGGAAAGAGGGAGAATGGGGCGGGGTGACGGAAAGCTGGAGAATGGGGCGGGGTGATGGAAAGAGGGAGAATGGGGCGGGGTGATGGAAAGAGGGAGAATGGGACGGGGAGATGGAAAGAGGGAGAATGGGGCGGGGTGATGGAAAGCGGGAGAATGGGGCGGGGTGATGGAAAGAGGGAGAATGGGACGGGGAGATGGAAAGAGGGAGAATGGGGCGGGGTGATGGAAAGCGGGAGAATGGGTCGGGGTGATGGAAAGAGGGAGAATGGGGCGGGGTGATGGAAAGCAGGAGAATGGGGCGGGGTGATGGAAAGCGGGAGAATGGAGCGGGGTGATGGAAAGCGGGAGAATGGGGCGGGGTGATGGAAAGAGGGAGAATGGGGCGGGGTGATGGAAAGCGGGAGAATGGGGCGGGGTGATGGAAAGAGGGAGAATGGGGCGGGGTGATGGAAAGCGGGAGAATGGAGCGGGGTGATGGAAAGCGGGAGAATGGGGCGGGGTGATGGAAAGAGGGAGAATGGGGCGGGGTGATGGAAAGCGGGACAATGGGGCGGGGTGATGGAAAGAGGGAGAATGGGGCGGGGTGATGGAAAGAGGAAGAATGGGGCGGGGTGATGGAAAGCGGGAGAATGGGGCGGGGTGATGGAAAGCGGGAGAATGGGGCGGGGTGATGGAAAGCGGGAGAATGGGGCGGGGTGATGGAAAGCGGGAGAATGGGGCGGGGTGATGGAAAGAGGGAGAATGGGGCGGGGTGTCGGAAAGCTGGAGAATGGGGCGGGGTGATGGAAAGAGGGAGAATGGGGCGGGGTGATGGAAAGAGGGAGAATGGGACGGGGAGATGGAAAGAGGGAGAATGGGGCGGGGTGATGGAAAGCGGGAGAATGGGTCGGGGTGATGGAAAGAGGGAGAATGGGGCGGGGTGATTGAAAGAGGGAGAATGGGGCGGGGTGATGGAAAGAGGGAGAATGGGGCGGGGTGATGGAAAGAGGGAGAATGGGACGGGGAGATGGAAAGAGGGAGAATGGGGCGGGGTGATGGAAAGCGGGAGAATGGGGCGGGGTGATGGAAAGAGGGAGAATGGGACGGGGTGATGGAAAGCGGGAGAATGGGGCGGGGTGATGGAAAGCGGGAGAATGGGGCGGGGTGATGGAAAAAGGGATAATGGGGAGGGGTGATGGAAGACAGGAGAATGGGGCGGGGTGATGGAAAGCAGGAGAATGGGGCGGGGTGATGGAAAGAGGGAGAATGGGAAGGGGTGATAGAAAGAGGGAGAATTGGGCGGGGTGATGGAAAGCGGGACAATGGAGCTGGGTGATGGAAAGCGGGAGAATGGGGCGGAGTGATGGAAAGCGGGAGAATGGGGCAGAGTGATGGAAAGCGGGAGAATGGGGCGGGTGATGGAAAGAGGGAGAATGGGGCGGGGTGATGGAAAGCGGGAGAATGGGGCGGGGTGATGGAAAGCGGGAGAATGGGTCGGGGTGATGGAAAGAGGGAGAATGGGGCGGGGTGATGGAAAGAGGGAGAATGGGGCGGGGTGACGGAAAGCTGGAGAATGGGGCGGGGTGATGGAAAGAGGGAGAATGGGGCGGGGTGATGGAAAGAGGGAGAATGGGACGGGGAGATGGAAAGAGGGAGAATGGGGCGGGGTGATGGAAAGCGGGAGAATGGGGCGGGGTGATGGAAAGAGGGAGAATGGGACGGGGAGATGGAAAGAGGGAGAATGGGGCGGGGTGATGGAAAGCGGGAGAATGGGTCGGGGTGATGGAAAGAGGGAGAATGGGGCGGGGTGATGGAAAGCAGGAGAATGGGGCGGGGTGATGGAAAGCGGGAGAATGGAGCGGGGTGATGGAAAGCGGGAGAATGGGGCGGGGTGATGGAAAGAGGGAGAATGGGGCGGGGTGATGGAAAGCGGGAGAATGGGGCGGGGTGATGGAAAGAGGGAGAATGGGGCGGGGTGATGGAAAGCGGGAGAATGGAGCGGGGTGATGGAAAGCGGGAGAATGGGGCGGGGTGATGGAAAGAGGGAGAATGGGGCGGGGTGATGGAAAGCGGGACAATGGGGCGGGGTGATGGAAAGAGGGAGAATGGGGCGGGGTGATGGAAAGAGGAAGAATGGGGCGGGGTGATGGAAAGCGGGAGAATGGGGCGGGGTGATGGAAAGCGGGAGAATGGGGCGGGGTGATGGAAAGCGGGAGAATGGGGCGGGGTGATGGAAAGCGGGAGAATGGGGCGGGGTGATGGAAAGAGGGAGAATGGGGCGGGGTGTCGGAAAGCTGGAGAATGGGGCGGGGTGATGGAAAGAGGGAGAATGGGGCGGGGTGATGGAAAGAGGGAGAATGGGACGGGGAGATGGAAAGAGGGAGAATGGGGCGGGGTGATGGAAAGCGGGAGAATGGGTCGGGGTGATGGAAAGAGGGAGAATGGGGCGGGGTGATTGAAAGAGGGAGAATGGGGCGGGGTGATGGAAAGAGGGAGAATGGGGCGGGGTGATGGAAAGAGGGAGAATGGGACGGGGAGATGGAAAGAGGGAGAATGGGGCGGGGTGATGGAAAGCGGGAGAATGGGGCGGGGTGATGGAAAGAGGGAGAATGGGGCGGGGTGATGGAAAGCGGGAGAATGGGGCGGGGTGATGGAAAGCGGGAGAATGGAGCGGGGTGATGGAAAGCGGGAGAATGGGGCGGGGTGATGGAAAGAGGGAGAATGGTGCGGGGTGATGGAAAGCGGGAGAATGGGGCGGGGTGATGGAAAGAGGGAGAATGGGGCGGGGTGATGAAAAGAGGAAGAATGGGGCGGGGTGATGGAAAGCGGGAGAATGGGGCGGGGTGATGGAAAGCGGGAGAATGGGGCGGGGTGATGGCAAGCGGGAGAATGGGTCGGGGTGATGGAAAGCGGGAGAATGGGGCGGGGTGATGGAAAGAGGGAGAATGGGGCGGGGTGTCGGAAAGCTGGAGAATGGGGCGGGGTGATGGAAAGAGGGAGAATGGGGCGGGGTGATGGAAAGAGGGAGAATGGGACGGGGAGATGGAAAGAGGGAGAATGGGGCGGGGTGATGGAAAGCGGGAGAATGGGTCGGGGTGATGGAAAGAGGGAGAATGGGGCGGGGTGATTGAAAGAGGGAGAATGGGGCGGGGTGATGGAAAGAGGGAGAATGGGGCGGGGTGATGGAAAGAGGGAGAATGGGACGGGGAGATGGAAAGAGGGAGAATGGGGCGGGGTGATGGAAAGCGGGAGAAATGGGGCGGGGTGATGGAAAGAGGGAGAATGGGGCGGGGTGATGGAAAGCGGGAGAATGGGGCGGGGTGATGGAAAGCGGGAGAATGGGGCGGGGTGATGGAAAGCGGGAGAATGGGCCGGGGTGATGGAAAGAGGGAGAATGGGGCGGGGTGATGGAAAGCGGGAGAATGGGGCGGGGTGATGGAAAGAGGGAGAATGGGGCGGGGTGATGGAAAGCGGGAGAATGGGGCGGGGTGATGGAAAGAGGGAGAATGGGGCGGGGTGATGGAAAGCGGGAGAATGGGGCGGGGTGATGGAAAGCGGGAGAATGGGGCGGGGTGATGGAAAGCGGGAGAATGGGCCGGGGTGATGGAAAGCGGGAGAATGGGGCGGGGTGATGGAAAGCGGGAGAATGGGGCGGGGTGATGGAAAGCGGGAGAATGGGCCGGGGTGATGGAAAGAGGGAGAATGGGGCGGGGTGATGGAAAGCGGGAGAATGGGGCGGGGTGATGGAAAGAGGGAGAATGGGGCGGGGTGATGGAAAGAGGGAGAATGGGGCGGGGTGATGGAAAGTGGGAGAATGGGGCGGGGAGATGGAAATCGGGAGAATGGGGTGGGGTGATGGAAAGAGGGAGAATGGGGCGGGGTGATGGAAAGCGGGAGAATGGAGCGGGGTGATGGAAAGCGGGAGAATGGGGCGGGGTGATGGAAAGCGGGAGAATGGGGCGGGGTGATGGAAAGAGAGAAAATGGGGCGGGGTGATGGAAAGCCAGAGAATGGGGCGGGGTGATGGAAAGAGGGAGAATGGGGCTGGAGAATAGGGCGGGGTGATGGAAAGCGGGAGAATGGGGCGGGGTGATGGAAAGAGGGAGAATGGGGCGGGGTGATGGAAGGCGGGAGAATGGGGCGCGGTGATGGAAAGCGGGAGAATTGGCCAGGGTGATGGAAGGAAGGAGAATGGGGCGGGGTGATGGAAGGCGGGAGAATGGGGCGGGGTGATGGAAAGAGGGAGAATGGGGCGGGGTGATAGAAAGCATGAGAATGGGGCGGGGTGATGGAAAGAGGGAGAATGGGGAGGGGTGATGGAGATAGTGAGAATGGGGCGGGGTGATGGAAAGCGAGAGAATGGTGCGGGGTGATGGAAAGCGGGAGAATAAGGCGGGGTGATAGAAAGCGAGAGAATGGGGCAGGGTGATGGAAAACAGGAGAATGGGACGGGGTGATGGAAAGTGGGAGATTTGGGCGGGGTGATGGATAGAGGGAGAATGGGGCGGGGTGATGGAAAGCGGGAGAATGGGGCGGGGTGCTGGAAATCGGGAGAATGGAGCGAGGTGATGGAAAGAGGGAGAATAAGGCGGGGTGATGGAAAGAGGGGGAATGGGGCGGGTTGATGGAAAGAGGGAGAATGGGGCGGGGTGATGAAAGGCGGGACAATGGGGCGGGGTGATGGAAAGCGGGAGAATTGGGCGAGGTGATGGAAAGAGGGAGAATGGGGCGGGGTGATGAAAGACGGGAGAATGGGGCGGGGTAATGGAAAGCGGGAGAATGGGGCGGGGTGATGGAAAGAGGGAGAATGGAGAGGGGTGATGGAAAGAGGGAGAATTGGGCGGGGTGATGGAAAGCGGGAGAATGGAGCGGGCGGGGTGATGGAAAGCGAGAGAATGGAGCGGGGTGATGGAAATAGGGAGAATGGGGCGGGTTGATGGAAAGAGGGAGAATGAGGCGGGGTGATGGAAAGCGGGAGAACGGGGCGGGGTGATGGAAAGCGGGAGAATGGGGCGGGGTGATGGAAAGCGGGAGAATGGGGCGGGGTGATGGAAAGAGGGAGAATGGGGCGGTGTGATGGAAAGCGGGAGAACAGGGCGGGGTGATGGAAAGTGGGAGAATGGGTCGGGGTGATGGAAAGAGGGAGAATGGGCTGGGGTGATGGAAATCGGGAGAATGGGGCGAGTGATAAAAAGCTGGAGAATGGGGCGGGGTGATGGAAAGAAGGAGAATGGGGCGGGGTGATGGAAAGCGGGAGAATGGGGCGGGGTGATGGAAAGAGGGAGCATAGGGAGGGGTGATGGAAAGCGAGAGAATGGGGCGAGGTGATGGAAACAGGAAGAATGGGGCGGGGTGATGGAAAGAGGGAGAATGGGGCGAGGTGATGGAAACAGGGAGAACGGGGTGGGGTGACGGAAAGAGGGAGAATGGGACGGGTTGATGGAAAGAAGGAGAATGGGGCGGGGGGATGGAAAGAGGGAGAATGGAGAGGGGTGATGGAAAGCGGGAGAATTGGGCGCGGTGATGGAAAGCGGGAGAATGGAGCGAGGTGATGGAAAGCTGGAGAATGGGGCGGGGTGATGGAAAGAGGGAGAATGGGGCGGGGTGATGGAAAGCAGGAGAATGGGGCGGGGTAATGGAAAGAGGGAGAATGGGGCGGGGTGATGGAAAGAGGGAGAATGGGGCGGGGTGATGGAAAGCAGGAGAATGGGGCAAGGTGATGGAAAGAGGGAGAATGGGAAGGGGTGATAGAAAGAGGGAGAAATGGGCGGGGTGATGGAAAGCGGGACAATGGAGCCGGGTGATGGAAAGCGGGAGAATGGGGCGGGTGATGGAAAGAGGTTAAATGGCGCGGGGTGAAGGAAAGCGGGAGAATTGGGCGGGGTGATGGAAAGAGGGAGAATGGGGCGGGGTGATGGAAAGAGGGAGAATGGGGCAGGGTGATGGAAAGAGGGAGAATGGGGCGGGGTGATGGAAGATGAGAGAATGGGGTGGGGTGATGGAAGGCAGGAGAATCGGGCAGGGTGATGGAAAAATGGAGAATGGGGCGGGGTGATGGAAGGCGGGAGAGTGGGGCGGGGTGATGTAAAGATGGAGAATGGGGCGGGGTGATGGAAAGTGGGAGAATGGGGCGGGGTGATTGAAAGCGGGAGAATGGGGCGGGATGATGGAAAGAGGGAGAATGGGGCGGGGAGATGGAAAGAGGAAGAATGGGGCGGGGTGATGGAAAGAGGGAGAATGCGACGGGATGATGGAAAGCGGGAGAATGGGGCGGGGTGATGGAAAGAGGGAGAATTGGGCGGGGTGATGGAAAGCGAGGGAATGGAGCGGGCGGGGTGATGGAAAGCGGGAGAATGGGGCGGGGTGATGGAAAGCGAGAGAACTGGTCGGGGTGATGGAAAGCGAGAGAATGGGGCGGGGTGATGGAAAGCGGGAGAATGGGGCGGGGTGATGGAAAGCGGCAAAATGGGCCGGGGTGATGGAAACCGGGAGAATGGGGCGGGGTGATGGAAAGCGGGAGAATGGGGTGGGGTGATGGAAAGCGGGAGAATGGGGCGGGGTGATGGAAAGCGGGAGAATGGGGCGGGGTGATGGACAGCGGGAGAATGGGGCGGTTTGTTGGAAAGAGGGAGAAAGGGGCGGGGTGATGGAAGGCGGGAGAATGGGGCGGGGTGATGGGAAGCGGGAGAATTGGGCGGGGTGATGGAAAGCGGGAGAATGGGGCGGGGTGATGGAAAGAGGGAGAATGGGGCGGGGTGATGGAAGGCGCGAGAATGGGGCGGGGTGATGGAAAGAGGGAAAATGGGGCGGGGTGATGGAAAGCGGGAGAATGGGGCGGGGTGATGGAAAGCGGGAGAATGGGGCGAGGGTGAGTGAAAGAGGGAAAATGGGGCGGGGTGATGGAAAGCGGGAGAATGGGGCGGGGTGATGGAAAGAGGGAAAATGGGGCGGGGTGATGGAAAGTGGGAGAATGGGGCGGGGTGATGGACAGACGGAGAATGGGGCGGGGTGATGGAAAGCGGGAGAATGGGGCGTGGTCATGGAAAGCGGGAGAATGGGGCGGGGTGATGGAAAGCAGGAGAATGGGGCGGGGTGATGGAAAGCGGGAGAATGGGGCGAGGTGATGGAAAGCGGGAGAATGGGGCGGGGTGATGGAAATCGGGAGAATGGGGCGGGGTGATGGAAAGCGGGAGAATGGGGCGGGGTGATGGAAAGAGGGAGAATGGGGCGGGGTGATAGAAAGCAGGAGAATGGGGCGGGGTGATGGAAAGAGGGAGAATGGGGAGGGGTGATGGAAAGAGTGAGAATGGGGCGGGGTGATGGAAAGTGGGAGAATGAGGCGGGGTGTTGGAAAGCGGGAGAATGGGGCGGGGTGATGGAAAGCGGGAGAATGGGGCGGGGTCATGGAAAGCGGGAGAATGGGGCGGGGTGATGGAAATAGAGACAATGGGGCAGGGTGATGGAAAGCGGGAGAAAAAGGCGGGGTGATGGAAAGCGAGAGAATGGGGCAGGGTGATGGAAAACGGGAGAATGGGACGGGGTGGTGGAAAGTGGGAGAATTGGGCGGGGTGATGGATAGAGGGAGAATGGGCGGGGTGATGGAAAGCGGGATAATGGGGCGGGGTGATGGAAGGCGGGAGAATGGGGCGGGGTGATGGAAAGCGGGAGAATTGGTTAGGGTGATGGAAAAATGGAGAATGGGATGGGGTGATTGAAGGCGGGAGAATGGGGCGGGGTGATGGAAAGAGGGAGAATGGGGAGGGGTGATGGAAAGAGTGAGAATGGGGCGGGGTTATGGAAAGCGGGAGAATGAGGCGGGGTGTTGGAAAGCGGGAGAATGGGGCGGGGTGATGGAAAGCGGGAGAATGGGGCGGGGTCATCGAAAGCGGGAGAATGGGGCGGGGTGATGGAAATCGGGAGAATGGGGCGGGGTGATGGAAAGCGGGAGAATAAGGCGGGGTGATGGAGAGCGAGAGAATGGGGCAGGGTGATAGAAAACGGGAGAATGGGACGGGGTGATGGAAAGTGGGAGAATTGGGCGGGGTGATGGATAGAGGGAGAATGGGGCGGGGTGATGGAAAGCAGGATAATGGGGCAGGGTGATTGAAAGAGGGAGAATGGGGTGGGGTGATGGAAGGCGGGAGAATGGGGCGGGGTGATGGAAAGCGGGAGAATTGGGCGGGGTGATGGAAAGCGGGAGAATAGGGCGGGGTGATGAAAGGCGGGAGAATGGGGCGGGGTGATGGAAAGAGGGAGAATGGGGCGGGGTGATGGAAAGAGGGAGAATGGGGAGGGGTGATGGAATGAGGGAGAATTGGGCGGGGTGATTGAAAGCGGGAGAATGGAGCGGGCGGGGTGATGGAAAGCGGGAGAATGGGGCGGGGTGATCGAAAGCGAGAGAACGAGACGGGGTGATGGAAAGCGGGAGAATGGGGCGGGATGATGGAATGCGGGAGGATGGGGCGGGGTGATGGAAAGAGGGGAGAATGGGCCGGTGTGATGGAAATCGGTAGAACGGGGCGGGGTGATAGAAAGCGGGAGAACGGGGCGGGGTGATGGAAAGTGGGAGAATGGGGCGGGGTGATGGAAATCGGGAGAATGGGGCGGGGTGATAAAAAGCTGGAGAATGGGGCGGGGTGATGGAAAGCGGGAGAATGGGGCGGGGTGATGGAAAGAGGGAGAATGGGGCGAGGTGATGGGGACAGGGAGAATGGGGCGGGGTGACGGAAAGAGGGAGAATGGGACGGGGTGATTGAAAGAGGGAGAATGGGGCGTGGAGATGGAAAGAGGGAGAATGGAGAGGGGTGATGGAAAGCGGGAGAATCGGGCGGGGTGATGGACAGCGGGAGAATGGAGCCGGGTGATGGAAAGCGGGAGAATGGGGCGGGGTGATAGAAAGCGGGAGAATGGGGCGAGGTGATGGAAAGAGGGAAAATGGGGCGGGGTGATGGAAAGCAGGAGAATGGAGCGGGGCAATGGAAAGAGGGAGAATGGGGCGGAGTGATGGAAAGAGGGAGAATGGGGCGGGGTGATGGAAAGCGGGAGAATGGGGCGGGGTGATGGAAAGAGGGAGAATGGGGAGGGGTGATGGAAAGAGGGAGAATTGGGCGGGGTGGTGGAAAGCGGGAGAATTGTTGGTGCAACCTACGGTTTGCACTCGGCTTGTTGTCCGTGTGCGTGCATGCGTGTGTGCATGGAATGGTATGAGGGCATGGGATAATATATATTTCATGCTTACAATAGTGTGTGTATGATGGGTCCTGATATTGAGTGTGTGTGTCAAGTCAATAGCGAGTTATCGCTAGTCGCGTGTAACGCGGTCATTTTGTGTGTCCCGCGCGGTTTCTATTTTTTCGTGGGCGGTTTCTATTTTGTCGCTTGTCGAACGTTCGGCGTGTCGCAGGTGTGTGCAGCAGACCCATCAAGAACTCAATGATGAGTTTGTGATGAAGAACCCGAGCCCTGATGTCAACATTCAAGTGTTCGCGAAGTCCGCGAAAAGGGTACACCTCAAGATATCAAGATTCGTTACATTACAACGTGTCGTGTAACATTTCAGTTGGTGTAGACCCTAGTGAAGGGTAGTTTCGAGATCCTTCGTGGTTGGGGACAGTGTGGCACTGTTCCACATCACTGTACCTCGGCTCTTGGGGTTTGTAGGAGCTGGGAGTCATTCCCAACTCGTAACTCTTGCTAACTCTTCCTAAGTTGTGTTCTAAGACTATGTTGCTGCCATAGTGCTGTTCGTTCAAACCGTCGCTGTGTCGTCAAATCTTGATGATATCGTGCGATCTAAATTGCTTATTGTAGGCGACGTTAGGGAGCTCCAGATCCATGTTGAATGAAGTCATTTGGAGTTGTGAGCAGATTGCTATGAACGTTTAAAGCCGCTGTGCAGAAATCCGACTGTGCACTCTTTCCTTAGTTTTAGGCACATTGAAGCCTACTGTGACTATATCAAGTGGTATCAGAGCCCCTTGGAGCAGCTACGACTATGACTGGACCTGGAGAAAGGGGTGTCAGAGGTGCTGGTGGCAATGGAGATGCCCAAGCACAAGGCCAAGCCCGTGATTCAGCCGTGGCGCCCGTGCAACCTACTCTTGGACCTTCTAGGGATGAACCAAGAGCGTTCGGGCTTGACAAGTTCAACGGCGACAACTTTGCTGAATGGTCCTTCAGAATGGAGAACGTGTTCGACCATTATGACCTGCTGGAGGTGATGGAAGGAACGGAGAAGCGTCCCGAGCACGACCCGGAGAAGAGCTTGTATCACACCGTGGGTGGAACACACGGTGGGTTGAACACACGGAGGGTTGATCACACGGTGGGTTGAACACACGGTGGGTGGAACACACGGTGGGTTGAACACATGGTGGGTTGAACATACGGTGGGTTGATCACACGGTGGGTTGATCACACGGTGGGTTGATCACACGGTGGGTTGAACACACGGTGGGTTGATTACACGGTGGGTTGAACACACGGTGAGTTGAACACACGGTGGGTTGAACACACGGTGGGTTGAACACACGGTGGGTTGAACACACGGTGGGTTGAACACACGGTGCGTTGAACACACGGTGGGTTGAACACACGGTGCGTTGAACACACGGTGGGTTGAACACAAGGTGGGTTGAACACACAGTGGGTTGATCACATGGTGGGAGGAACACACGGTGGGTTGAACACATGGTGGGTTGAACACACGATAGGTTGAACACATGGTGGGTTGATCACACGGTGGGTTGAACATACGGTGGGTTGATCACACGGTGGGTGGAACACACGGTGGGTTGAACACACGGTGGGTTCAACACACGGTGGGTTCAACACACGGTGGGTTCAAGACACGGTGGGTGGAACACACGGTGGGTTGAACACATGGTGGGTTGAACATACGGTGGGTTGAACACACGGTGGGTGGAACACACAATGGGTTGAACACACAGTGGGTTGAACACACGATAGGTTGAACACACCGGTGGGTTGAACACACGGTGGGTTGATCACACGGTGGGTTGAACACACGGTAGGTTTAAGACACGGTGGGTTGAACACACGGTAGGTTTAAGACACGGTGGGTTGAACACACGGTGCATTGAACATTCGGTGGGTGAAACACACGGTGGGTTGAACACACGGTGGGTTCAAAACACGGTGGGTTCAACACACGGTGGGTTCAACACACGATGCGTTGAACACACGGTGGGTGGAACACACGGTGGGTTGAACACACGGTGGGTTGAACACACGATAGGTTGAACACACGGAGGGTTGAACACACGGTGGGTTCAACACACGGTGGGTTGAAAACACGGTGGGTTCAACACACGATGGGTGAAATACATGGTGGGTTGAACATACGGTGGGTTGAACATACGGTGGGTTGATCACACGGTGGGTGGAACACATGGTGGGTTGAACACACGGTGGGTGGAACACACGGTGGGTTGAACACACGGTGGGTTGATCACACCGTGGGTGGAACACACGGTGGGTTGAACACACGGTGGGTTGATCACACGGTGGGTTGAACACACGGTGGGTGGAACACACGGTGGGTTGAACACATGGTGGGTTGAACATACGGTGGGTTGATCACACGGTGGGTTGATCACACGGTGGGTTGATCACACGGTGGGTTGAACACACGGTGGGTTGATTACACGGTGGGTTGAACACACGGTGGGTTGAACACACGGTGGGTTGAACACACGGTGGGTTGAACACACGGTGGGTTGAACACACGGTGCGTTGAACACACGGTGGGTTGAACACACGGTGCGTTGAACACACGGTGGGTTGAACACAAGGTGGGTTGAACACACAGTGGGTTGATCACATGGTGGGTGGAACACACGGTGGGTTGAACACATGGTGGGTTGAACACACAATAGGTTGAACACACGGTGGGTTGATCACACGGTGGGTTGAACACACGGTAGGTTTAAGACACGGTTGGATGAACACACGGTGCATTGAACATTCGGTGGGTAGAACACACCGTGGGTTGAACACACGGTGGGTTCAAAACACGGTGGGTTCAATACACGGTGGGTTCAACACACGATGCGTTGAACACACGGTGGGTGGAACACACGGTGGGTTGAACACACGGTGGGTTGAACATACGGTGGGTTGATCACACAGTGGGTTGATCACACGGTGTGTTGATCACACGGTGGGTTTAGCACACGGTGGGTTGAACACACGGTGGGTTGAACACACGGTGGGTTGAACACACGGTGGGTTGAACACACGGTGGGTTGAACACACGGTGCGTTGAACACACGGTGGGTTGAACACACGGTGGGTTGAACACACGATAGGTTGAACACACGGTGCGTTGAATACACGGTGGGTTCAACACACGGTGGGTTCAACATACGGTGGGTTCAACACACGGTGGGTGGAACACACGGTGGGTTGAACATATGGTGGGTTGAACATACAGTGGGTTGAACACACGGTGGGTTGAACACACGGTGGGTTGAACACACGGTGGGTTGAACACACGGTGGGTTGAACAGACGATAGGTTGAGCACACGGTGGGTTGAACACACGGTGGGTTGAACACACGGTGGGTGGAACACACGGTGGGTTGAACACATGGTGGGTTGAACATACGGTGGGTTGATCACACGGTGGGTTTATCACACGGTGGGTTGATCACACGGTGGGATGATCACACAATGGGTTGAACACACGGTGGGTTGAACACACGGTGGGTTGAACACACGGTGGGTTGAACACACGGTGGGTTGAACACACGGTGGGTTGAACACACAGTGCGTTGAACACACGGTGGGTTGAACACACGGTGGGTTGAACACAGGATAGGTTGAACACACGGTGGGTTGAACACACGGTGGGTTGAACACACGGTGGGTTGAACACACGGTGGGTTGAACACACGGTGGGTTGAACACACGGTGCGTTGAACACACGGTGGGTTGAACACACGGTGCGTTGAACACACGGTGGGTTGAACACACGGTGGGTTGAACACACGGTGGGTTGAACACACGGTGCGTTGAACACACGGTGGGTTGAACACACGGTGGGTTGAACACACGATAGGTTGAACACACGGTGCGTTGAATACACGGTGGGTTCAACACACGGTGGGTTCAACATACGGTGGGTTCAACACACGGTGGGTGGAACACACGGTGGGTTGAACATATGGTGGGTTGAACATACAGTGGGTTGAACACACGGTGGGTTGAACACACGGTGGGTTGAACACACGGTGGGTTGAACACACGGTGGGTTGAACAGACGATAGGTTGAGCACACGGTGGGTTGAACACACGGTGGGTTGAACACACGGTGGGTGGAACACACGGTGGGTTGAACACATGGTGGGTTGAACATACGGTGGGTTGATCACACGGTGGGTTTATCACACGGTGGGTTGATCACACGGTGGGATGATCACACAATGGGTTGAACACACGGTGGGTTGAACACACGGTGGGTTGAACACACGGTGGGTTGAACACACGGTGGGTTGAACACACGGTGGGTTGAACACACAGTGCGTTGAACACACGGTGGGTTGAACACACGGTGGGTTGAACACAGGATAGGTTGAACACACGGTGGGTTGAACACACGGTGGGTTCAACACACGGTGGGTTCAACACACGGTGGGTGGAACACACGGTGGGTTGAACAAATGGTGGGTTGAACATACGGTGGGTTGAACACACGGTGGGTTGAACACACGGTGGGTTGAACACACGGTGGGTTGAACACACGGTGGGTTGAACACACAGTGGGTTGAACACACGGTGGGTTGATCACACGGTGGGTTGAACACACGGTAGGTTTAAGACACGGTGGGTTGAACACACGGTGCATTGAACATTCGGTGGGTGAAACACACGGTGGGTTGAATACACGGTGGGTTCAAAACACGGTGGGTTCAACACACGGTGGGTTCAACACACGATGCGTTGAACACACGGTGGGTGGAACACACGGTGGGTTGAACACACGGTGGGTTGAACACACAATAGGTTGAACACACGGTGGGTTGAACACACGGTGGGTTCAACACACGGTGGGTTGAACACACGGTGGGTTCAACATACGATGGGTGGAATACACGGTGGGTTGAACACACGGTGGGTTGAACATACGGTGGGTTGATCACACGGTGGGTGGAACACACGGTGGGTTGAACAAACGGTGGGTGGAACACACGGTGGGTTGAACACACGGTGGGTTGAACACACGGTGGGTTGAACACACGGTGGGTTGAACACACGGTGGGTTGAACACACGGTGGGTTGAACACACGGTGCGTTGAACACACGGTGGGTTGAACACACGGTGGGTTGAACACAGGATAGGTTGAACACACGGTGGGTTGAACACACGGTGGGTTCAACACACGGTGGGTTCAACACACGGTGGGTTCAACACACGGTGGGTGGAACACACGGTGGGTTGAACACATGGTGGGTTGAACATACGGTTTGTTGAACACACGGTGGGTTGAACACACGGTGGGTTGAACATACGGTGGGTTGAACACACGGTGGGTTGAACACACAGTGGGTTGAACACACGGTCGGTTGATCACACGGTGGGTTGAACACACGGTGCATTGAACATTCGGTGGGTGAAACACACGGTGGGTTGAACACACGGTGGGTTCAAAACACGGTGGGTTCAACACACGGTGGGTTCAACACCCGATGCGTTGAACACACGGTGGGTGGAACACACGTTGGGTTGAACACACGGTGGGTTGAACACACAATAGGTTGAACACACGGTGGGTTGAACACACGGTGGGTTCAACACACGGTGGGTTGAACACACGGTGGGTTCAACACACGATGGGTGGAATACACGGTGGGTTGAACACACAGTGGGTTGAACATACGGTGGGTTGATCACACGGTGGGTGGAACACACGGTGGGTTGAAGACACGGTGGGTGGAACACACGGTGGGTTGAACACACGGTGGGTTGAACACACGGTGGGTTGATCACACCGTGGGTGGAACACACGGTGGGTTGAACACACGGAGGGTTGATCACACGGTGGGTTGAACACACGGTGGGTGGAACACACGGTGGGTTGAACACATGGTGGGTTGAACATACGGTGGGTTGATCACACGGTGGGTTGATCACACGGTGGGTTGATCACACAATGGGTTGAACACACGGTGGGTTGATTACACGGTGGGTTGAACACACGGTGGGTTGAACACACGGTGGGTTGAACACACGGTGGGTTGAACACACGGTGGGTTGAACACACGGTGGGTTGAACACACGGTGCGTTGAACACACGGTGGGTTGAACACACGGTGCGTTGAACACACGGTGGGTTGAACACAAGGTGGGTTGAACACACAGTGGGTTGATCACATGGTGGGTGGAACACACGGTGGGTAGAACACATGGTGGGTTGAACACACGATAGGTTGAACACACGGTGGGTTGATCACACGGTGGGTTGAACATACGGTGGGTTGATCACACGGTGGGTGGAACACACGGTGGGTTGAACACACGGTGGGTTCAACACACGGTGGGTTCAACACACGGTGGGTTCAACACACGGTGGGTGGAACACACGGTGGGTTGAACACATGGTGGGTTGAACATACGGTGGGTTGAACACACGGTGGGTGGAACACACAGTGGGTTGAACACACAGTGGGTTGAACACACGATACGTTGAACACACCGGTGGGTTGAACATACGGTAGGTTTAAGACACGGTGGGTTGAACACACGGTAGGTTTAAGACACGGTGGGTTGAACACACGGTAGATTTAAGACACGGTGGGTTGAACACACGGTGCATTGAACATTCGGTGGGTGAAACACACGGTGGGTTGAACACACGGTGGGTTCAAAACACGGTGGGTTCAACACACGTTGGGTTCAACACACGATGCGTTGAACACACGGTGGGTGGAACACACGGTGGGTTGAACACACGGTGGGTTGAACACACGATAGGTTGAACACACGGAGGGTTGAACACACGGTGGGTTCAACACACGGTGGGTTGAAAACACGGTGGGTTCAACACACGATGGGTTGAAAACACGGTGGGTTGAACAC